CTTAATTTAAAAGGGTTATTGAATCACTGAACATACATGTGGTTTAAATGGGCAAATCTAACCATTAAAATTTTCATGGAGTAATTTTTTATGTTATTATGTACAAGATTGACTGTCATATGTTTGATTAATATGTAGTTTAGGACAAGAATTGTACTATCCGTAACCTGCAAAGTCACAAGTTTACAGTCCACAGGTAGACGCGTCACCTTAACCGAACAAATTATTGTGACCAGTCTTTACTCTAACTCCTAAATAGCTTTTGTTTGGCAGGAAAAGCAGCAAATAGTTATTTGGAAGGCTCCGGTTTTCCCTACTCCAGATCGAATCCCACTTGAGATGAGGACACTAATATTAGACGTTCAATGTGATATGACAGAATATCAGGACACGGTAACTTGCTACCGGCGGGAGAGGGTTATACCCTCTGGACTGGAGCATCCATCATCAATGTCATCGACCCTGGTCGTTGTAAAAACTTATTAAATCTAGGCCGAAACAAAGTACGTCATACGCGCGTTGCTTCTATTCAAGATTATTCATAGGCCCTCAAATCAAAACAATTACAAAACCAAACAATCAATTACAAAGTTAAAATTTGAAATCATTCTTCAACTTCAAGTTTTATAACCATAATATACAGCCGATACGAGTACAATTCCCTTTTTTATTTCATCTAATGCTTTTGTTTTTAAATTATAAGTATCAATACATTAAATGTGGTACAACTGAATGCAGTTGAATGATAGAACGCTTACCTCCTCATAAAATAAGTACAACGAAAGAAGAAAAAAGACTTGCTTTAATGTAAAAAAAACTAGGAAGATACCAATCGGCATTCAAACAGTATATGTAGATCAAATATCGACAATGTCATTGCCAAATAAAACGAGACAAACATAAATTATAAGAACTTCGATCGAATTTTTATCATTTATTTTATGAATAAAGTCATTTTAGGACATTGCATTGGCCTCAACAGTTTCAGGTTTGATATTTGACTTTTGAATCCTTGTGCAACTATACGTTGTTAGAACACCACCACTTTCAAAACGTTTTATATATAACTTATATTTAACTGTTGCAGTAGTAAACAATAGTATATAACAGAACGATTGCAAAAATTTATAAAAGGTGCAATAGATTTAACTATTAAAATTTTGAAAGAATCATTATTACTGTGCGACGTTTAAAAAAGTATTTGAAATATCAGAAAATTACCTTTATCTAAAATGTCCGAAAAGTAGTTTACATTATTAAAAGGGACATTATCTGTCAAATTCGTGATCACCAATTTTTGACTCAAATTCTCATATTTGGTTCATACCATACAAAAACGTATATCCAAATTAATGGTTAAATATGTTTCGATATTCCGATTTTAAAAATGTTTGAAACATAAAAGAAAAATCGAGTTTTATTTTTTTTTGTCTAAATCGCAGTTATGTCCCTTTAAGTACACCAGTAGTTTTTATTGTTGCTATAGACTTTTTTTTTTATAAATGCAGAGATAGATAAAGCTAGTAAGTACCTGAAATTTATATCATACTGTCCACTCATACTGTAAAATATCGACGAATTTGAGTACGGGAAGACAATAATTCAATAGCGGTACATTTATGAAGATATTTATAGTATAAAGCATTTTCTTTTATAAGTGAGTTCACGTACACCTGTTTTATAGTAAAACTTAGCCATCAAAGTATATAAAACATATCAAACTTTTTTTAATTTGAAGTTTTAAATGACTATAATACAAATTGATACAAAACAATGAATCAAAATCAGATGAACGTTTGAAATAAATATATCCATCTCTTAACTTGTTACATATTTATGAAAAATTTATCTAATACTAGTATTAAAATATCGGTAGCAAAATAACTAATAAGAATTAGTTACCACAGCAAAGAAAAGGGAAAAGATTTTAATTTTCCCAGACACAAAGATTCTGCCACAATTGTCAATCAATTGCAAAAAATATGAAGAATAATCAGATGTTTATTTAAATAAATAACAAAATTATGATCTGAATTTTATGATTCACCAGTCAATTGAATCCTAAGAGGACAGCAAAACTTTTATTAAAATGTAAAAATAACGAAGAATAATCAGATGTTTTTTTAAATAAATAACAAAATAATGATCTGAATTTTATGATTCACTAGTCAATTGAATCAGAAAGCATTCATACTGTCTGCAGTATACGGAAAATTTTCACCTATGAGTTTGACTATCACATTGATATCTTTCGTCTTTCTTTTGACAATAGACATAATAATCAATTTGTCCAGTTCATGAATGCCTTATGATAGAAATAATACATTCCAGTAATGTTAAGAAATATGCATGCAAAAGTTTAATGTTATATCCTAGCCGATGCTTTTTAAATATCAATTTATGAGAAATTGGGAATTATGTCATTATACAAAAGTATTACATGTATATTCGATTGTATTTTTAAAGTATTTAAATCTAACTAAATTGGCCTTAGCAATCTTAGTTAGAAACATGATTAAATTATATTCAGATAAATATCGTGCAAAATTAAATATGCTTTCATGCATGTCAACATTCCCAATGGATCAATGTTCGCCTTTCAATAGTATGGGAAAATTGTCTTGTGGTAAACTTCTAAATGTTCGTGATGGTGAATCATTATCCGAGTTGTAACTAATAAACAGATTCAAAACAAACAATTAAATTTTAAATATTCGAAAAAGATCTACAGGAGAGCCTAACCTCTATACAGGAATCAGAGTTACATTTATGTGTAAAATTTCATAGCAAAACTATCTTTTTCAATTCGACCTATTCAAAAATATTTTTGATAATAATTTTAAGTATATATCATGGCTATGGTATTTTGGAAAGAAATCAAGACAAAATTTGTTTTGGCTTGTCTTCTCGAAACCATGCCCGTTATATATCGTCTTAGTCGTATTTGGCACAACTTTATAAGAACTTTGTTTTTTTGATGATCTTCAATTTTGTTTTTGATTTGGTCTTTTAACTGTTTTGAAACGAGTGCATCTGATGAGTCTGACGTAGACGAAACGTGCGTATGGCGTACCAAATTATAAGTCTGATCAGTTTTCAATAAATTCCGTAAATAATATACTTCCAAAGGAAAATATATGAACAAATTGAATGATATGCAGTAAAGAGTAACACTTTAAAATAGAGGTCTTTTTAAATCGGATTTCGATATAAACATGTATTTGAAATGCATTTGATCTACACCGCAAATGTACAAAACTCGAGACGTAAAGGTACAGTGACCATTGGCTTGAAAACTTAATGCGCGTGGGGGTGTAGGGTGGGTGTGAGGAGGTAGATTTGGAAAAATAGAATGTTGCTAACGACTAATTAATAGACTCTGAAAATTGGTGTTCGAAAAAACTTTTAATTTTGTATGCTAGTATTCATGATTATTTATAAATTTCAACATGCAGCAGTATTAACTTAAAAACAAACTATGAGTGTAGCAAGACTTCAATGCGATTATATCGATCTATAATGAACATTCGTGATTTTGTATAATTCTCAACATTCAGTAAGATGAGCTTTAAAAAACAAATCTGTGTAACAAGATTCTAATGCCGTTATATCGGTCTCGAATGAAAATACGACAACATGAATTTGCATGTTTCTTCCAAATAACATAACCTAACAACCATTGTTTTACAATGAAGGATTATAGTCTCGAAATAACTTTTTATCAGTATGGCTACCGACGTTAACAACTTATATACTTTGTAATTTTTATTTTCCCTCTCTATTTTCTCGAATCACCGGTTTTGTCACATTAAATAGCCTGTTTGCATGTTATATTAACCTTAGTATTTTTGTGAATAATCCAATGAAAAACTTTAGGATGTCCATTAATGGAAATATATTTTTGTACTTTTTATGATAATTTATGAAAATTCATGACGAAAAATCCCCAGATGCACAAAATCAACTTGGGTCTTCATCATATTAAAGTTACAATAAGCTCTTCATTACAGAACAACCATCGTAGCACCTCACTTCAAGTTCAACACAATCCCTAGCATCAGCTTCAACACAAGAGATGTAGGGTTTTATAAAATTGATACAGACTGAGCCTGTAATTCAGGGGTTGTCGTTTATTGCTCTATATCATATTTGTTTTTCGTTCATTGTTTTGAAAATAAATCAGGCCGTTAGTTTTTTTTTTTTTCGTTTGACTTGTTTTACATTTGTCATTTTGGGATCTTTCACAGCTGACTATGCGGTTTTGGTTTTACTTATTGTTGAAGGCCGTACGGTGAACTTTGTTTGTAAACTCTGTGGTGGAGAGTCGTTTCATTGACAATCATACCACATCATCGCATATTTGTATGTAACAGAAAAAGAAATCTAACACATACTTTCAAGACAATCATATTGTAAAAGCACAAACAATTTAAACATTTAAACAACCATGTGTGACATGAAGATGTTCGTAAGATAACCTGACAAACAAAAAACATTTATGAATAGGGCAACTTATTAACCTCGACTGAATATCATTTTGGATAGATAAAAGGTCAAGTAGTACACATAAAGGGAGTTCATTCAAAAATCAATATGCCTTTACTATAGGAACTATGAGAGCAGATACCTATGGAGGGCGTTTAGACCTCTGTGACTAACACGCTAACATATACGATAGCGGATGTGTTACAGAGCCGTACAAAATACTAGTAGAAACAATAATTGAGGTTAGAACGCAAGGAATTTATTCAAAAGGCAATACTTGAATGCAAAGAGAAGAAAACAAAAATATGCATACCAAAAAGCACAACTGAAATGTAAAAATTTCTAGAACCTCTCATTGGATTTAAATCTATAATTAGAAATACATTGCTTATCATATTTAAATAATCTGAATGGCGTGATAGCAAATTATGCAAACAACATATATTTTTTCTTTGATTTTAAATAAAATCTTTCACCAATGAAATCAAAGCTAAGATCGCTAGATACTTATATAATACTTTTACTGTTGTATCGACTACAACACAGGTTAAGGCCGTGTGAAATTCATGATGTATTGATTCGGAAATGACTGCAATTTATTATAAGGCTGTAATACTATGTAAGTAACTATTATTAAATAATAATTTTATATTAAACTGAAAACGGACAAATGTTTTTCTGTCTTCAATATTAGTTTGACTAATACGGCAATATTTTGACTTGGTAAGATTGTTAAAATAAGATGCGTTCTATTATGTAATCGTTATGTAAAGCGAGGAGGAAACCATTGAACGTTTGGTCGTATTTTGTTTCATGAACATTCAATTATCAAACAATCCCTTGGACAATCATATTTTATGACTTTTCCAATTCTTTTTCGACATTAAGAGATGATATTGAAGTTGATTTTTATATTACCTATGAGTCAGGTGCAGCTGTTTCAGACATTTTAATTTGTCCATGTGAAATACCTATTTTCGTAAGACTGATGTTGCAGCTACGTTTGAAGTGATATCTGCATATTTTTCATAGTTTGTGTTAAGCTCTTAAGAAAATTAAAAATGTTTAATTTGTACGATGGTAGCCGGATATTTCTTTCGTTCGGTAAGTTTGTTCATTTAATGTATGATAACGAAATGAACAGTGTTACAAGACGGACGAAACTACCTTAAAAGGTATTACCACGATAACAGAGTAATAGTTTTATTCTTGAAATTTATGAAACAGCGAAACATACCATAACCATAAATTCAACTTAAGTTCATTCTATACATGCCAACTATCAGACATGCCAATTTAAATGTGTACCTTTTTAAGTGGGGAATTTGCATTTAAATGGTTTCCGTTATAACTCCGTTGCTTTCTCGTATTGTTTGTAACATAGGCTAGACTGATTAACATTGTGTTCACATAAGTATTGTCCTTTTAATTTGTCCAGTTTCAATCAATATAATCTGGAGACTTCAGTGCAAAAACGGTTCACTTTGGTCTCACAATGATCCACAAACATATTCATTACGTAATATTTGACCTACAATAATAGAAAAGAAAGGATGGCAATTTAACAAGTAATTCTTTTTTATGTCAAAATAGTTATCCATAAATATATTTTTATACTTTAGCATGGTTGTAAAATACATCAAGTAGCAAAATATATGTTTGTGAAAAGCTTTGGCTGATGTCTAAATTTAAATGACAAGATCTTAAGATAAGACTATTTAGGCTTTTTTGCAGTTTTGCACTAATTGCAAGAAGTTTGAATCCCAGATGTAAGATAATATTAAACAAGATAGATACTGCTGATTGGTATTCTAGTGTCTTGTGATCTCATGAAGTGTGTTAATTGACAGATGTATAATACTTTTTGTGTTTTCGAATTTAGGAGTCAGAAAAAGTGGCTTTAATTATCATAAGCTAATCAAACAATTGAACATGAAAGACTTGTCACATGTTGACTTTGTTTTATTCTAGATGCATAGTTCCAAAGATTGGCACTACGATATAGATGAAATATCTTGAGATAACGCGGCTCTAGGGATCTAATTGACAATGTAGTAACCTTACATAAGTAATCATTCAGTTTTTTTTTTATTATTTGTATTGCAAAATATAAATTTACTTGTTCAATTATTATTGTTTTAAGGTAAATTTTATTAACCTTTTTAAACAAAGTTTTGAAATGCCAAAAATGAGGAGATATCAAAACAAAAGAATACGTTACATACGTTAGTTTATAACGAAAAAATTGTGTTATATTTCAATAAATTATAAGGCCATGATATAAAGTTAGTAATATCTACTATATGGTTTAACATTACAAAATGCAATCACATTATAGTACATTATATATAATTTTAAAAATATCATTTTATGACTTTATCATTTAATTGAATTACAACCTGCAAGTATCTTTGTTAAAATAACAAAAGAATTTCTATTTGTATCTATGTTTCCATAGTTCGTATCAAATAATTGTGATTTCAACACAAAAATTTAGAACAGTCCAGAATCTAAATGCGGTAATAACTACTAAACCGTATAAGGTTTTTGAATCACTCAAAATTAATGTCGTTTAAATATAAAATTAAAATTTGTTGTGGTTTTCATATAAAAGTTTGACTGATATAAATTTGTATCAGGAAGTAAACATGTTTAAAGTCATTAGTTTGTTAATATGTAAAAAGGACAATTACTTTATTTTCCTCCGACACGAACGTGTACAAACTAATCGAAGATATATATCTGACTTATCATTTGATACCCCAGACGCGTGATTTGTCAACATGACCCGTCACGCTGAGGCGTTCGACTGAAATTATTGGGAATACTAAATCAAATACGTAGTTAAAGGGCATGGTAACTTAATAAAAACATTAGATACCTGGGGTGAACAAACTTTATTGTGTTTTGAATGATTTATCATTTTATAAAAGTATAACAAAAAAGTAAAATAACAAAAATACCGAACTCTATGGAAAATCAAAACGAAAAGTCCCTTATTAATGGCAAAATCAAAAGCTCAAAAACACGAACGAAAGGAAAACAACTGTCATATTTCTGATTTGGAACAGGCAACTGATGATGATGATGATGATGATGATGATGATGATGTTGATGACGACGACGACGACGACGACGACGACGAGGACGATGATGATGATGACGATGACGATGACGGTGACGATGACGATGACGATGATAATGATGATGATGATGATGATGATGATGATGATACGAATCAAATACAGTCAGACATATAACTAAGTAAATAAGTTCTTATCAGTGCCCCCGTCCCCCCTCCCCCGAATCAAAACAGTTGAAAACTAAAGCAATAACGAAGTGAAGAGCAACAAAAACAACAACAAAAGCACCACTTAAAACAAAACCAATAAAAAACCCAAAAGCAATACAGCCTTAAAAAAAACATTTAAGAAACTAATGCATAATATCCTAAAAGATCTTATATTGACCTCAACAGTTACACAACATTAAAAGCTTTCTTCTGATTGGTTAATTTGGATATTGAATTTCGAATCATGAATATCAAACTTCAACCTTTTTATTAAATCACGAATTTTGAATCTCCAACGAACCTTCGGAAATTTCGAAGTGGTGTCTTTAACACAGCAAAGTTAACAAAAATTAATATATGTAAATACACCTTTAAATTCTAAATTTTAAAAGTTTTTTCTGTTGGATTGAACATATGCTTGACACATTAACCTTGATTTCGGTATGTAAACATTGTTTTAAGAACTTTCTCATGGTTCGAAAAGGTTATGCTATAACGTTATAAATTGGTTTCATACAAAATCGTTGCTTTAGTCTGCTCATTCATATCATAACCTCTTAAAATAATAAAGCTTGATGTTTGTCTTTTGAATACTTTGTATAACAATACGTTGTAAGAACACTCCCACTTTGATAAAACGTTATCAAATATATTAACTAACATTTGATTGTTGCAGTAATATAGTGTTATTAACTGGCTGTTTCTGTATTGGCACTGGTATAGATTCAAGGTTTGCTGTATTGGCCTCGAGACCCGTAGGGTCGAGGGCCAATACAGCTGACCGAGAATCTATAATAGTGCCAATACAGAAACAGCCAGTTCATAACACTTTTATTAAATGATTATAAGAGAATTAAAAACCGGAAGTGAACATCCCGTATTAGCCCATGGGCCAATACGGCTTTTTTCCCGCTTTTTTCTGTATTGGCCCTGTTTTTTCCGTTTCAAAACTTTAAGACGTTACAAAACATTGCACATCATTTAACCTGTTTCTTTTATGATTTTAATTTAAAAATATTATACAAATGTTTTTATGCATAACGATACTTCCAAAGTTAAGTAATGGCGTAAGAAAATTGAAAACCGGAAGTGAACGTCCTGTAGTAGCCCTAGGAATAAAACGGCTTTTTTTTCCCGCTTTTTTCTGTATTGGCCCTGTTTTTTCCGTATTGGCCCTGTTCGAAGAGCAATATTAAATCTTGATTTATATCGATAGTGGAACGTTTTTAGTATTGCACATGCTGATTTATCCGTATTAGGGCTTATTTGCTCATATCATTTAATAATGTACGATACTGAATAACAGAAAGATATCAATAATCTATGAAAGGTCTATTGTCTATTCAGTTGAGTCACCTTAACGTCTACAGTTCCCTTTCAAGCTTTTTAGATTGTCGATGTATTACAATACAACAACCAAGATATCCTGAACTTGAAAAAAGGAACTGATTCAAAAACCTTGATTGTTGATGCTTTACTATAATCAGATCTTAAATATCTGTGACTAGCCACGAGATCGTCAGGATTAGGGTACATATTCCAAAATAAGTTTATTACATGATTATTCGTCAAGTATACATTGACAGAAAGCACCTTGTGAAGTTATTATTACAGATCGTAAATATTTTTTTTTTACATTCTGAGTGTTTAATGGCGACGTTTTGATTTACGAAGGCATTAATTTATAAAGCAATTTTTTTTAATTTTATTTTCATAATTAGATTCCGTTATGATTCATGTCCCTATCACGTATTTGAAGCATGTGAAGCATAACAATTTTGAAGTATATTTGTACTTAAGGTCGTCTCAAATATATCTATTACACATATACGTTTGATACATTGAATTAATGAAACGATGCAAGAACTATAAAAACTCTTTTGAATAGAGAATGAATTTGAATAATTCTAATTTAGAAATTTAAAAACCTTTCTGTAAAGTACACATAATTTCCAATTCAAACGTGAAACTTCTTAGAAAAATAGAGGCAACGTAAACGAATTTACCACCTTAAAAAAAAACATCGATACAACACTTAAACATAAACCAAATCTAGAGGTAATAACTGTCCGAAAAAATTGAAAACAACACGTTATTAATTTAATGTGTCCGAAGCGCTTTTCTGGATTTACCTTCATCAGGAACGCTCTAAGCCGATTATATGAAAGCCAAGGATGTTTAAAACCCGTATATGAAAACTGTTTTAAATTAGAATTTACTTTTACTTTCCATAAATAAATAATTTTATTAGTTTTTGATAAGGTAAAATATATTTTAAATCGACCATGCAAACACATTTGACGATCTCTGTGGCATTTTGATATACATGTCTATTGTATTGTTTATGTTCTGGGCTGATATATGCTTAAAACCACTGAAGTTAAGATATCCAATCGTAGTACTAATTTATCGTAGGACATGCAGGAATAAACGTGTGTTAAGTACTTTTATACATATCAGCCCAAATGCTTTTATATTAAACGACTGATCCTTTAAAATACATTGACATCTTTTTCAGACTGGTCCTCGTAATGACACCTGCATTTTTATCGAAACAAAAAATTTTTTTTCACGTGTCAGCAGATTTCAATACGAGATATTTGAACGGGGACAGTGCAATGTTGGTTTATACATCATTTTGATAAAAGTCCGACCTTTTTCTTCTATTTGGATGTAAACTCTTTGCACATATACGTTAATGTTATTACAATTTGTTCAGAATGTAAAAGTTTACAACGAATATTAACGTTTAAGAAGGATATCAAAATTTATGCAGAATTTTAACGTTAAAGAAGGCTATCAAAATTTATGAAGAATATTAGCTGTAAAAGTTCTAATTGAATACGGTTTGATTTTATAATTGTAACAAATAAAATATTGTCAGTGGTATTTTTCTGTTCTCAAATGTAATAAATAGAACTGTAAACACCCATGTTCACCATATACAATGGAAATATCTTAAATCGTCCATTAGAACAACGATGGAAATGGTCGTTAGCCCGGATGATTGTTAAATCTTTATGGTTGGTTTGCTGCCTATGAAGAGTCATTCTAGTCCGCAGTTCTTTTTTTGTTTCTTCAATATAGAATTCTGCACAATTTGAACATACGAGAGAATAAATGACGTTTGAACTTTTACAAGACATGTTTTGTTTAACTGTGAAATGCTTTCCATTTTTAAAATAAATTGAACTTTCTTCTATTAAATCTGGACATGTCATACATCGTTTATCTGTACATTTTCTAACAATAGGAAAAGTTTCATTGAAATCAAATTTTGAAGATGTTAAATATCGTTTTAGACTTGTTGACTATCTTTTAACGATGATAATCTTCTTTTTTTGTAAGACTTCGTCCATTTTTTCACTTTTGTGTAAACTATTTTCAATTTGTCGCATGACACTAAATATTTCATAATCTCGATGATTATATGTTGTGACAAACGGGATAATTTTGTCTAAATTGTTTGATGATTCTTCGGTTGGTTCGGATCGCCGTGTTCCGTAATGATTGGTCCTTTTATCAGTGCCTTTTGGATTCCGTAATTTTGTATAACACTTATGTATACAAGTCACATTACCTGAAGATCTGTGAAAGTAGTGAAAGCGCTAGTAAAAGATATATATATATATATATATATATATATCGCCCCGTATTGAGTAGTTGTATTCAAGGGATAAGTTACAATGTTGTATCAAATTGGCATTTTGAAATATTATATTTCTTCAACTTCAGTATACCATTTCTGCTTTTGCTGAAAACAATTTCAATTTTGCAGGTTATAAAAACAAGAAATAAGAAAACGATGAGTTCAGGAAGAGAAATAATATAGAACACAAAACTAGCCAGACAAAAAAGATATGCACACAGGTACTGCATTTTGAGTTAATTACTTGTAATCAAATTATTTAATTGATGACGCGTGTGACACATACACCAAATAAATGATACATCCGCAAATAGCCAACTGTTTCCCTAAACCTGTAAATGTCAACATCTGACGTCATTTCATTGCCAGCATAGTCAAAACGAGTCCAAAGCAAAATCTAATCATTGCATTTTCGTCTTAATCTAGTTTTATCAATAATATGAATAATGATATTATACAAATTTTAATTTCAGTGAATTTATTATAAGATTACATAAGCCCCAAAATGTACAGTGTCCCCCGACACCCGCAAAATAACCGACTTTAGGTTGGCACATACGTATCGGGTTTAATATTAACATTTATAAGCCTGGTATCTTTTGAGTGTTTTGACTAGATCTTTTTTTATTTATTTATTTTAAGGAAGTTGATTAGACGATTTGAAGAAAATGGCTACAAACAAAAGTAAAAATTTAAATAATACTGCAAAACTAACATATGCTGTACAACACCTGATGCCAGAGGTTTTACGAGAACTTCTGCGCATTAAAGAACCATGTCACATGGTAGCTGGTCATGTAAGAAACGATAGGAAGCTTTGGAGTGGTTTAAGCAAAACTGAAAGAGCCATTATTTTAAAAGCAGCTACAGAAGGTTATACACATTTTGACACACCTTTGATTTATAAAATACTGAGAAGTTTAAACACAGTGTCCCATCCTACCAAAGGTTGGGGACATGAAACAGATCCAGAAAGTTCTGAAACATCTGTTGGGGATGATGTTGAACGGATACTCAGGTATAGGAATGAGATTGCTCATACAATTGTATGGAATTGTAAAGTAACAGACAGCGAATTGACCAAGTGGTTGTCTGCATTCAAAGATGTTGCTAAAAGAATGGAAATCTATCTCGGCACAAGTAATGGTCACTTCACAAACAAATTGGAAAATCTGGAAATGCTTGCTTTGAATGATGATATGAAAGACTCTATTTTGAATACTGTCAAATGTTTGAAAGAGGACGTTGGTAAATCAAAACAGGACATTGGCAACAGCAATATCAATGGTAAGTACTGTTTGTATTAGTTTTAAATTAAACAATAGTTGTTCAAATCTAATTAATATAATTTCGATTAGGAAGATACAAATCAAAGTATCGCATATAAATGAGGGAATCACATGAACTCCAATCATCCCTTTGAAGACTCTGTGACATTTCCTGGCATGTAAATGCCACAAGGACTTTAGAATGAAGTATATTTCTTTTTATAAGATGTAAGGGTTAAATGTGCGTAGAAGGTGTGAAAGGACATGGCTTTTCAATTATGTAGAGAGACCAATTAAAACCACCAGTGGAACAAAGATATATGACGAGTTTATTAAAGTTATCATTATGACTAAAAGAAAAACGACGAATTGAAAAAAAAAACATCCACAAAACAATACCAAGCAAGCTGTCAAGTAACACAAACTCTAGTAAACCCACTCTTGATTATAAAGCCCATATTAAATCATACTTTGGTTTATCTTATTTTTTCAGATGCAATTGTAGTTCAAATTGAGGAATGGGAAAAGATCGATGAAAAGTTTGTGCCAACAGGTCTTTGTGCAAAATTGGTTCATAACTTAAAGGAAAACAATGTAACAACTGTTTACGGAATTTCCGGAATTGGAAAATCAGCAACTATACATCATGTAGCGTTATTATTACGGGAACAAAGTCAATATGAAATCATTCCATGTCATAGTCCTGAAGACATAGAGAGGAAATTTAGGAAAAATGAAAACCAAGTTTTTGTCTTTGACGATGTGTGTGGCAGATATTCGGCAATACAAAATGAAGTTAATTCGTGGTTAAAGTATGAACCCCTCTTAAAGAGTATTACAAGGGAAGGGAACACCAAAATTCTTGCCTCGTGTCGCACTCAGGTTTTTAAGGAAGAACAGTTTCAGAGAATAGGTTTTCTTACGGAATGTTCAATTGAATTCACGAACAATTTGATAACCAAAAACCAGAAACGGTCAATAGCTGAAAAGTATCTGGATCCAAATTTGATACGCGCGATTGAAAATGTCATTAACACATACGATTTCCTTCCGTTAATGTGTTCCTTGTATAGAAATCATACAGAAAAAGATGTTGTTGAGTTTTTTGAAAACCCGTTTGATATCTATATGTCTGAATTTGATAACATCAAACAAGAACCGAACAATCTGAAATATTTTGCAATTCTTTTAATTGTTCTTTGTAATGGGGAATTATGTTTTCCCGTTAGAGAAAACAATATTAGCCCTTTTTATCAGTGTTTTCCAGTCAAGGGAAACAATGGTAACAATGCCGCACGACATGATATAAATATACAGAATCTTTTAGAAGATTTCGGCATCTCTGGTGGAGCACCCAAAACCGATATCATAATGCAGCTGGATTCATTGGTAGGAACTTTTTTAAAGACTGAATATTATCACAACAAGGTCGGAAAAGAGATGGTGATTTATCGACCGATTCATGCCATTCTGTTCGACTACATGTGCCATCACTGTGGGTTAATACAAAATTTCCAAAATGTGATTATTAAATATGCTTGTCGTTCGTTATTAAATCAGCAAACATGTTTAGAATCATTAGCGGAATTAGAACAAAGACCAATAGTAATCAGTACAGAGAATGAAGAAGAGTTTTTTTGTCGGATGGTAAGAGACGTTTTAGAGGTAAAATCAGACGAAGTATTCAGAAGTCCTCAAATGAAATATCCAGAGTACAGACAAAAACTGATTCGATTTCTCAACTGTAATGCTGATTTATTGAAAGCTTCATTTAACGATATCAAAATCGGAAGTAAAGTTTTGCGTGGGATTCTCGCGTCGAATTATTCTGATGTAATTACAGTTGCTGTAAATATAGCAGGTTCTTTAATTTCTGTTTCGGAGCGGGCCTACTGTACTGACAAATCTGTCATCGGAATGCTTAGAAAAACATCCCGAAACGTAAATATGGCTTCTATTAAAATTCGCAAACATCGCTATACACCTCTTGTGTGCGCTTGTTTCCATGGTCACACTGAAATCGTCAAGTTACTTTTATCAGAAGGTACTAGTGTTAACTGCAATGTGTCTCATCGAAAATTGACTCCGCTTTTAGCAGCAATCATCGCGAACAACGCCGATATCGTTGAAATACTTTTGGAAAATGATGAAAGCGACGTTAATATGTCAGATAGCAGTAACGTAAGTCCATTAATGGTAGCCTGCAATGCTGGAAATTTTCCTGTGGTGTGTTCCATTGTAGAGAGAGGCGCTGTGTTGGATTCTATTGACAAATGTGGTCAAACAGCTCTCATGTTTGCTAGTCGACAGGGGTATTCTGATATTGTACAATTTCTTTGCGAACGCGGTGCTAACATTAACTCACAAAGTAGAAAACGGTGGACAGCTCTCATGTTTGCATGTAAGGGAGGGCATACAAATATTGTTAGCTATCTAATTGAAAGGGGGTCGTCTGTGGATGAAATTAGTGAACATGTCACAACACAACTAACTACTGCTGCTAAACAGCACAGTATTGAATTATTCAAGTGTCTCTTGGAAAAAGGGGCAGTTCTTGACCTGAACGACCTCGATGAAGTCTCTGTTAAAGAACGCTTTGAAACAGAAAACAGTACGACCACTGTCGCTTCTTTACAATTAGAAGTACAGCTCTTCAATGATGTAGATGATACCGATAATTTCGAAAATATAGGTTTACGTCTGGAGGAAGAAATAGATTTAAAAGTTGATACATATCCGTAACTTTATTTGTAGAAAAATCGCTCTTCCAGATTAAATGAAGCATCAATTGACAGCGTGTATATAAATAATTGAGAGCTAACAGATCTTTTATTGTAAATAAAAAATATGCTTTGTTTTTAATAAACCATTTACAAATATATTGTATATATAAATTTTGTCATGAAGATCTTTTGAGTTTGACGTGACTTTTGAAGGTTGAAATCTATTACTAAGCTTTTGAAGTGTTAAAACGGAGGCGGAAGATGCCAAAGGAACATACAAAAAAAACAATATGATTACAAGGCCTCAGTGCAATGCAAAATTAATACAGATTAAACTATCGACAGTTTGGATTCTTCTCACAAATGTCGAATAATTTATGGATTTAATTAGCATCGAGATTAGGTCGAAGAATTCAGACGGTGCTCATATGTCATTCAATTTAAGTCCATGATCTCCTTCTGGAGTTGTTAAGCATATTCCTGTTTTGCCTGCAGATATTGAATACACTTTCATCTATACATTTATACTGCAGCAGCGTACCTAAAAATATTTTGTTTGTTTGTTTGTTTGTTTGTTTGTTTGTTTGTTGTTGTTTTTTTTAAAACTTATTCTGTTTCTAGAGTTTTGCTTATTTTGAAAAAGTTTTATTTGCTACATTATGTATTTGCCTATTTTAATTATATGTAGTATTTTTATGCGATGCTACTTCTTTTTATATGACAATTGTGTAATATTTGTTGACTATTATATGTCTTGTGTTGTCCTGTGTTGTCTGCACGCACTGTATACAAATATGCATGTCTACAATTTATTATGCATATATGCGTTTAAAGGGTCGCTTTCGGCTTATGATTTATTGTAATTTAACTTTTGAAATAGAATAAAACTTATTTAGCAATTACCTTATTTGATCAAACTGACTTTGGAAATGTTTCATATCTCATTATTTAACTTATTTGGCTATACAGAAGTTATGTTGCTATAACCAGTTTTTGCGAGTGATAGTGACGTTAAAATATTAAATTTAAATGAATATTATTAATCTATTATACGTTCAAAAAAATCAACGAGACAATTAAAAGGCAATTAAAGTTAGAACGTGAAAAGGTTTAATCATTAACAATTTTTACTATGTTACATGCAATATTAAAATTATTCTGAAAATATATGTTGTACTTAAATATTAAAAGATTCAAACTACTTCTTTATTTTAGTTTACCGTAATTGTTCCTTGTATATCTACCAGTTTACAGTGATCATCCCGATTCAATCATTGTGACAGGTCTATAATACAGTAATTGCTGTTGCAACACATCGCCACAAAGTTGTACCTATAATTAAAATTCGAAAATATATTTAGATTACACCAACCAAAAGAAGTAAACGTGAGGGAATACATATGTAAATGGAACGGACCTAAAAGAAAGGTCCGTACATATTATTATTCTGTCAACCTTCAAAATAATCGTTAGAAGACTATTTACGATAAAATAAATAGTAGCATCATGGATACATTTGGCGTTTAAAGACAACATCAAGTCATAGCATAGAAGCAGAATAATTTTGTTTCTTTTAATAAACCGTAGATGTGGTATGATTGCCAATGCGACAATTATCTACAATAGCCCAAATGACAAATGAGAAAGTTATTCACCACTTGTATATGTGCGAAACGTTCTTTCCATGGAAAGATTTTCCATATTATTTTAACTCAAAAGCTGTGGTCTATAAAATGGTGTCAGATTTCGGAATCGTCGAACCCTTTCCTGTTAGACTATAAGGAGACATACAACAATCACAAGCAAAGAAAAATGGTTAAAAACGATATGGTTTCTGTGCGCACAGCATGTGTCAGGAAGACCTTCATTGTATACACAAGTGGCCAAATACTGTAAAGGGACAACATTAAATTGGTCAAGAGCATAAAACCAAAAGGACCAAAACAGAACAGACAAAAACAATCTGAGTTAAACTATATATGCATTAGCAAGCAGATCATAGACAGACGTTTAAATGCTTGCTGTTCTTTGGTCGGTTGTTGTCTCTTTGACACATTCCCCATTTCTATTCTCTATTTTTTTTATCTATTTTTTAATTTTCGCTTTAAGACAAATTTGGAATAAATAAATTAAAGCTATTATTTCATTTGGAAAGTCTTCAATACTATGTAATTGGTTAAATTCGCAGTAGACGACCAACTTTATTATGATTTAGTTGAAAGATGGACTGTGCCTTTAGATATTATTATTTTCTCTTTTATGTAATAATAAGAAGGTGACATTGACTAATTACTCATAACTTATTAAGGTTTTTCTTTTTACAACGGAAAAGATCTTACTGTAATTCGTCTGGTTATTTTTCTGCCAACTTGAACGACAAATGCCAAAAAAAGAATACGACATGTTTGAATGATTTAAGGTAGAAAGTATTGGTCACCCTGCCTTGGCGTTACTATTCTTGTTGGAGTTATGATCTCTCTTGATACAGAAAAAATTGTTAGCAGCTTAACTCAGAAACCATGCTCAGACATGCATTTTTTTTCCTCAGTCGCTCCTTGCGACATGTCGCAACTTTGTTATATTATAAGGTTAAATTTAATCGTTGGCGTCTTATTGGAGGTATCTCCCGGTAACTATTTGATGTAAGCGGTATATCACTAAATCTCATAAACCGTTAGTTGTATAGACATAGGACCGGTTGATATGAAGTACCTCGTCCATGACCTTGGAATTGAGGTCTATATCGAAGGTCAGTGTCGTGACTCAGATTATACCGTTTGGCACATTGAGGAGCAGATTTGTTACATTTGTCCGGCATATTATATGAGGGATAGGTTAAAATTACTGATTTATCAAATCGTTCTTGTTGTTGGTACATGATAAAGGCATGGGGTCTTTGTAATTAGATTGGGGACCAATGACCTTGATCATATAATAAAATGTCGAGGTCACGTCCTTCGTTATGAACTCATTTTAGGTTTTTATTGGCTTTTTCAACATTGTTAGTCTATATGAGTGAAAATTTTACAAAAGAAAACGAAAAGATCGTTCTTTTTAATTTTATTTGTACTTTTTTGAAGGATAGAAGATACATATAGGGCAATCAAAAACCGTCAGTACAAGAAAAAACATTCGACACCATGCCCAAAAGAAGTACATTATGTTCACTCTGTATGCCTTGTTCTGGATCATCATGAATGTGTATGCAATATTTGCCACTGCACGTTAATCAAGGAACAATCAATCCATCTTTTACAGGTTCTTTTTGTGGTTGTTGTTGTGTTGTGTTGCATCGTTAGTTTATTGTCGTATTTATTTGTTTTCATAATATTTCATTTGACTGTACATTGTCAAATTAAAGCAATCGTCTACGTGAATGAATATGAATTAATCATCATCATATTAATCTACCCGAAACAAATGGATAAATCATACAGATTCTTTATATGGTACTGACTTTTGTCTGATGACCCTATTTTGAATTCTACATAGTGTATGCCTTTGCGGGTTTCTTGTTGTCGTTGGTGGTGTTGTTGTTGCTGCTGTTACTGTTACGGTATCATTAGCGTATACACAGATCTCGTATTATTCATGAGTCTCTGGTTGACGAAACATGATAAACCCTCGATAGACCAATTTCTGACATGTTTGATAACTTTATAGAGGGCCAGAAGGACCTTTTTCGTGACGTCGGGATAAAACAAATATTTTTGTGGGAATTCGGGATTTACACCTATAGGGACTCGTGAATTAATTATTAATTTTTCGGGATTCGGGAAAGAATGATTTATTTTTTCTCGGGAATCCGGGATGACACCCCTTCCTATAGCATTTCTTTGTATACTTATTTCTAAACCTAACGAGACATTATACTGTGTCCTGCCCTTCAAAAGTTTAAGCAGTTTGTTTATTTCCATAGGTATTACAAATCTAAATGAAGTATAAAAAATACTCAGAATGAAACGGTTTTATCCTTCTAGCACAGAAGCCATATATAACAAAAATAGCATATCAAATAAATGTGACAAAAGATGCAATAAACGGATGGATACCTCTGCCTTTGATTTTGTAAAGTTTTATATTCGAGTTCAGTTCTGTGAGGTTAACAACGGTGATGTAACTTGATGAAGTCGTTCATTTACATGTTGTATGAGGGATCGCAGCATACAAAAGTAGAGCAACTAGATTCATGCTTCGTTGATTTGAATATTACATTTTATATATAGTCTTAGTGTGTTTTGATCATAACCCATACGGTAAGTCATCCTTTACTTGCATAATTGTCATATTAGCTAAATTAGGGAAATTGTTATAAGTTATTCCTGTGAATTTAGGTTCTGACAGGTTTTTTTTTAATGTCAGTGTTAAACCGGTTAACGGGGAAATAAGGTTTATTTATGATTAAAAGTGTTTTTTTATTTTAAAGAAGTAGGACAAGTAAGTCATGCTTTCATAACAAAATATTGAACTTGTTGCTACAGAAAGTTTTTCTTGGCCTTTCTATTCCATGCATAACGCATCGTTTCGATATGCTTAGAGAACGAAAAGCCAAAACTTTATAAATATATGAAAGCTGCATATCAAAGGGGCATACAAGTTGGTGGGAATGGCTTAGCGTTTATCGTCAAGGATTAATCCACACCTTTATACTACCGTTAGTGTGAAATAAACCTAGCTTATCTTATCGTCATTCGTCACATTGCAAATTACCGTGAAGCGTCATATGAGGAACCCCGTGCCATTCTGATTCCCCTATACATGTATATGGTGGTCAGTAGCTTTTAATGACAGGTTGTTCTGTACCAATATATACATCCTTTCGCCTTACGTTAATTGATGCCAAGTACTCAATTGCATAAAAACAAACCCGAGCGTAAGTTTTTATCTGAATCAAGGAAGTACATATGTATGTCAGGAGAAAAATACTTGCCATGTTAAGCTTTACTGAACGAGACTTGTAACCGAATTTGCACTTGCAATGAACAACACAACGGATGCCACATATGGAGCAGGATATGCATTCCATTCCTGTGCACCTAATACAAGCTCGGTTTTCAGTTCACAGTTGTCTGTTTTAGATTTTTGAGGACTGTTGTTTGTCTTTTCGTCGTTTTTTGGGTAAGTTATGATGCTCTGAATATGTTGTGGTTGATTGATTGATTGTTATTTTATTTCAAGTCCAGTCAGTTGCAAACATTTTATCGTAAAGATCTTTTGATTAACTGATTGGTTGTTTCTTTGCTTCACGTCCATTGTCAAATTGATTGTTTCGTTGCTTCACGTCCAGTGGCAAATTTTCATAAATATCAAGTTATAAAATTATAAATAAATCCTATATAAAAGGCAAGGAGCAAATTACATTTATTTTCCCTACACGAAGCATCAGATTTACCGTCATTAATTGGACCGGACTTGTCTGCGTATACGTATTTACTGTATCTGTTATTTATGTCATTCATTATGTATCTGCATATACTTGGAACACTGTTTTAGACACTATTAAATTACTTTAGTTTGAAAAAGAGAAAAATTCTTGAAAGAAATAATTCTTATTAAAAAAAAAATCTAAGTTAATGGCAAAACGAACATTTATATTCTATAATACATATTCCCTCAGGTACTACCATTGACATGTAAGTGTACAGAATAACATACATGTCACCCTTTATTGTTTATGTATTTATATAACCAAATACTGTAGTCCATACTTTATATAATAACAGCTGTTCTAACCAAGGTAAGTATTTCATACTTCTTATAAACGACTTAACAAACATAACATAGCATATGTTTTATTTTTTATTTTTATTTCTTTCTTGTTAAATTTTTTTAAGTTGAGGCGACCATGATTGCAAATGTATTATACATCAGGTAATTTTGTTACACGTGTATAAATTAAGTTATGTAAAGTACCTTCCCATGATATTCTGGTACTAATGACAGATTAATGTTTTGATTGTTCAGACTTTTTCACTTTCTGACGTACAGTATACACTGTAACAAAAGGCAAATAAGCATTACAAACTCAATACAAATCATAACTTATTAGATTGTTACAACAGGGTTCAACGGAACTATAAACAACTGTCATACAAGTGGGAGGTTTAGCTAGCTATAAAACCAGGTTTAATCCACCATCTTTTGGGGAAAATACCTGTACCAAGCCAAATTTCTTAGTTTACTGATATACATGTACCATCCAATTCAAGTTGGTTTTGCATTTTGCATTTGACATACCTTGATTTTTTTCCTAATAAAATCGATTGACTTTTTTGGTATTAAATAAATAACCCTCTGTAGTTATTTTCTTCAACAATCTACATGTAGCCAACCCGGTCCACCTTCTTTGCAGATCTTATCTATTTTCGTTATTGTCCTGAATATGCATGAAATATTTGCCACTGGACCATAAGCAAGCAAGAATTAATTGCTTCGCTGAGCGCAGCTGGATACGACCCCAGAGGTCCAACCCTGAACAGTTGGGGCAAAAATGGACACAATATTCGCGCTTGATACAGGTCTGAATTTGGATTGTAATTAAATATCTGACACAAAATAGGTTTCTGACACAGAATAACTGTAGTCAAAGAACTTAGAATTGGTAATATGATTTGAATTTATATTCAATTTATGCTTTTGTGCAATACACTTTGCTGTTGCGTATTGACGCCCCCCCCCCCCCCTTTCCCATCTATTTTTTGCAAAAAAAAATAATATTTGAAGAAATTTTCTTTTAATTTCTGAAATCTTTCCCTCAAGATAAGGTCATAATCTCAATTCAAATTTCTAATGGAGTTTGCAACCATAATTACTCATTAAAATACATCATAAAAGTCTTTAAAATAGAAAATGACATACATATTCAAGGCTAAAATTAATATTAGTTACTGTAACATTTAAAAATAAATTGACAGCTAATCACCTCAAGACAATACAGCATTTCTTATACATAATTTACAAGCAGTGTAAGGGAGGTAATCTAAAACATACACAACATTGTATATTAAAGGTGATTAGATTACCTCCCTTACACTGCTTTAAAATTGTCCATTAACCAGGAAACCCTTGTTTTTCTCCTTTTTTTACCCCTTATTCCTAAATGGTTTGAGCCAAAACCCCCCAAAGTCAATCCTAACCATCCCTTTGTGGTATGGAAACTTGTGGTATAATTTCAGAGAGATTCATACACTTAAACACAAGTTATTGTCTGGAAGTTACAAAAATGCTTATTTGGGCCTTTTTTTTTGCCCCTAATTCCTTAACTGTTGGGATCATAATCCTCAAAATCAATCCCGATCTTCCTTTTGTGGTTACATACCTTGTGTTTAAGTTTCATAGATATCTATTTACCAATTGTCTTCGGACGACGATGACGTCGACAACGTGACTCCAATATACGACCACAAAAATTTTTTGCGGTCGTATAAAAAAATCAAGCAATCTGATATTTGTATGTAGAATATAAAAAATTCTAAGGCTTTCTTAATACCGATTCAAAAGTGTTCTTTTTTGCGTTAGTTATCTTTTTTTTCAACTTTTAGAAATAAATACTTGAGCATATATTTTTTTTGCTTCGAGTCCCCTTGATAAGAAACAAGATTTAGTACCTGATTTCCCTGCCTTGTTATACTTTTAAAACGTTCTGCCAATCTCTATTGAAGCAACAGGTCCATGTGAATTACAATGTATCTGAATTTAACAGCTTATATTATGTACATGTATTTATTTTGAGCAAGCAATATTTGGTAGAAATTGATACTTTTTTCATTATTATTTTTAAAATATTAAGTCATTTCAAACCAAAATTCTACACAAATTAAAGCTATATATATATATATATATATATTAAGATTTAATCACCTTTCAGATACATATCAATTCATTTTTCTGCTACAGTTTTTGAAACTGTTTGAAAGGGTAATGAAATTTGGAACCGAGGTTTCAAGTCAAATTAAGCTTGCGGATAGTAACATTGGTATTTATGTTATAAATACCTAAACAAAATGCTTTGAATCTATGCTGTATACTTTCAGTGTTCAAAATAAAAACTCAGATATGACATACTCAGTGAATATATTTGCACTTAACTGATACACATATAAATAAGCTGCTTACCCAAAGAGTGCAAGTATGCAGGTTGTGTGCATATTGAAATTTGTTGCCAGAATAAAATATAGAATAGTTAGAAGGCATCTAATCAGAAGTAAGTAAAATGGCTCAGTAGAAAAATGCAAGAAGACATTTTTAGGCATATAAATATTGCATCAAATATGACTGTTAAAAGTCCCATAACTCTTGAAATACAAACAAGTTCTCAAAATCAAAAGGGAGCCTACATTCACAAATCCCAAATACAGTGTAAAGTTTGTAGTAATAGACCACTTTTGAGTTATGTCCTTCACTGGAAAAGTTCGTCAATTATGCGCGCCTTTGTGACGTCATTTACCAGATAAAGGGAATCGCCTGTATCACTGCACTATTAAAGTTCATCAAGCGTCTTCGTGATAGTCATTATGTAGGATGAACTAGAAATAATGTTTGTTCTGTAGGTACTTAATAACAATGTCCCTAATGACAGAAGTGCTGATTATCAATTATAACAATTTAATTTGCCGTATAATTCGTGCAATACAGCATTATATTTTTTTGAACCAATCGCTCAACATGGGAAGGAAGTGACGATGCCCCTATTCGCATGACTGATGTTCACTAAAACCAAAGTTTTTGACGGAAATGCAACGAAATCGAAAGTTGTCTATTGATCCTAACATTCTAGAGCTAGTGCATGACATGTAAAATCTGCCTTTTATTAATTTGATGGTTGAAAGTCCCATTACTCTGGAATGGCAAATTGGAATTTTTTTTAAATTGACCAGTATCTTACTTTCACCTATTCCAACAATTATGTATAGTGTCCAGAAATCAATCCAAGTATACTCAGGTTATAGTACAACATGTGAAAAGTTGACGTCTCTAACACTGAAACAACAAACCAGAAAATTTTCATAATCAAAAGTGGAGTTTTTTTTTAATCAATGCCAACGATAGTGTAAAGTTTTGAGGAAATCAATCCAAGCATACAGGAGTTAGTGAATGATTTGTGAAAAGTTGCCTTAAATCTGAGATTTAAAGTTCCTCAACTCTGATACTACACATCTAAAAGTTTTCAAATGGAAAGGAAGCTTTCTTCTGTCACTCCTATAGTTGCATTGAATTTTTATGAGAATTTGTTAAAGCAAATTTGAGTTCTCAGAAAGAAGTGTTGATGGACAAACTATGGTTATCCATATAACGTTCTTCACCAGTCATATAAAAATTGTTGCCTTTTTTGTATAGTGCCATAAATATTTCAGAAGGTTGGGAAAATATGTCTCATAATTCTTGTCCTGAAACTCACAATAAACTTTCAAATGTGTGAATTGTGCACAGTTTGCAACATTATAAATTCTTTCTGAAAGTAATTGATTTTAGGAACTATTATGTGGAATGTATGTAAGAACCATTAAAATAAAGGTGATTATCTTGAATTACTTTTAAAATGCTCTATATTGCAAATTTGTAGGGAAAAAGAAAACATTATTATTTTTTTACAATTTTATTGTTTTTTATATTTCACTGCAAAACAAGTAAAAAACAAAATATTAACAAACAGTTATAACAAGACAGTTCAAAATATTGTTTGTTTCAACAAATAAACTCTATAGTTGATGGAAACTATAATCATATCTAAAATAATGTTTGCTCAGAAAGTATAACATGATTGACTGAATTATTGTACTTAATTGGTTAAACACTTTATTATCATTATATTTTTTTTCAGGTGGGGAGAGCTATTGTGTATGATGGGTTTTAAATATTGATTCAACTGTACAGCAATGAAATTTATTTCAATGATCATGGGAACTTAATTTTAAATAGTTACTGAAATAATCAAATAAACCTATAGAGTCAATTTGGTCTTGCCAGACTACTGACATGACTGAAATCATAATTGTGTTATTTTTAAATGCAACCAATTTTAAAAACTTAAAAACTTGACTATGACGTATACATGTATACAGTAAAAACATAGATGCTGAGTTATAGTTTTACAACATATGTTTGAGTGATATGTTGATGCGTTAACATTTGTATGCATGATTTAAATATAAAGACATAAATATTTAAAACTTGTTAATGGATGGAAGTCTTTAACTGAAACAAATAAGACCTCTAAAAAGTAAATCAAATATGATGGCCCTTATGAGACAGTGCCATAGAAACAGGTAGAATTATCATTTGTAAAACTAAAAGATTGTAATCCATCTCCATTGGAATCTATTTTCATTACCTTAAATATGATAAGCACATGGCCTGGTAATGTTTTAAAAAAAAGAAAAATCTTGCCATTGCAAGTGGTCTTCCCTTTGGAAACATTTGTCTTCACCTTTAGTTTTGTCAACAACTGAATTTGTTGGTAAAACTTATATGAATACAAATGTGTACAATTGAATTTTTTTTCAGTAATGTCATAAATTTCAACAGACATTACCAAGCAAAACATAATGAGTACATAAGTTCTAACTCCATTAAGGCATAACATTGTGTGCATAACCTGATAACATTAAATGACTGAACCATAGTAACCAAAGAACAAGCACCAAAAAAAAAAAAAAATTCCAAATCCATGTCATAACTTGCTTATATAATTTAAGAAAAAATAGAACTTTAAAATATATATCATAACTGTAAATATTCCTTAATAAAAAGATGTATCAAAGCTAAAAACCATAAAATACTGTCATCTATAATATATGCATTAAAATTTATAGTCAATATCAATAAAGTGCCTAATAGACTGCAATAAACAGATTGTAAATTGTGAAAATATTATCAAGTTAATTATCACAGTTAAAGAATAGCTAATCTAAGAATTTAAAAACAGAAAAATTATCAACTCATTTATTCACAAATGCACAGAGTGGCTGCATGAAAAAATTTTCACTGTTTTACGGTCCCAAGCTGAATATTTTCCTACATTTTAAATCTTGAATAAGTTATTCTTTGTTATTACATTGGCTTTAAGTTTAAATCAAGTAGGAAATACAAGGAACTACTTCTTTTCATGTGTGTTCACACTTTGCTCTGACAGCAATGTCATTGATAATGCTTTTATCAATGTATAATGTCTGAGTGATTTCTTTTATGTTTTTTACTGAGAAATAATGGTATTTCATTGCAACCAATGTCACAAATCAGAATTATCTTTTTTTTCTATTGAATCTTGAAAAGTTTCAAACAATTAACAGCAGTCTTTTATTAATGTAAATAACATTATTTTCTAATATCTTAGTGGAAAATATCATTCAATTTCAAACTACATGTTATCAAAAAGGTATGAATTAAAGTACATATAACAAATAATGTAATGTATAGAATCTATCAAAACTTTAAACCTCCTTTTGTAAAACACAATTTAATATCTTTATACAATTCTTAAAATACGAATACAAAGAGTTCATAAAAACTCAAAGCCATCCTATATTACATGTCAATGTTACCACTACTGCCATTTAAGTCAGTTACATGAAACACTTTGTAGATTTGGCATGGTTGAAGTCTTTTGAATGAAGGAACAAAAGTGATGAATTTGAGTGGGTTCATTTAGACTGTCATCATCTAAATCTAACAATCTATCTAAATCATCTTCATCTGCACCAATGCTGAATGATACTCTGTCATGACCGTCTGATCTACGGGGACTCCCATAAAGGGGGTTCCATTCTACAGGTAGCAAGGGAGATAATTCACTGTTTGCTGTTATCTCCCCTTTAGAAGCACTACTTATTATTGATGATATATGGTTCTGATGAACGGATTTATTCAGCAATGATAATGGATCCTGGAAATTGAATGGCACTTGGACACTGGCTAATGAAAATGAATTGAGGTGATGTCGGATGTAATCTGTGAGTGATGGTGATGACATAGACACATTAAGTTTTATAGACTTTTTCTCTTCCTCTTCTTGGATTTCTGTCTCTTCATCATTAAGGTATATTACAGTTCTTTTGTTTTCATCTTCTTCTATATTTAACACTGAAAATAAAAATAATACAACCATCATTCACAGGCAAACATATGATATCTTAACCCTTTCTATAACCTTATACTGGCTACATTGGATCAAAAAACATGTGATTAACAAAAATATTCAAACAAAGCACAAAATCTACATATGCTTCCCAGTGTTTGGTTGTCTCTGCTGAATGTATTCATAACTTATCTAGATATTGGATAATACACAGCTTCCCATATGGTTGGCAACTTGTCAATGGCTTAAGACAGCATATGGTGACCGTAAATCTTTTTATGTTAACTTTTGTTGTTGGGTTTCTATTTCAAATGAACACACCTTCCTGGCCAAACGAAGTACAAAATATTATATTTCAGATCCTTCCTGAGGTTGTCAACCAGGATTTTTAGTAGTGTGTTCTATCCTACATCAGTTATCCTTTGCTTCCATTCTCATGGAAAGTACAACATATAACCCAACATTTTCTTCTGCGAATGCCTGTACCATGTCAGGAATTTGACAGTTTTTTTCCATGTGTTCCGTTGGATGATATAGTTCAGCATTTGATTTTGTCAGATTTAATGGACTTCCCTCTGTTTGAATTTACCTTGGAGTTCAGTATTTTTCTAAATACTTTTTTTACAATATAATTTGTATCAACAATTTGTCAGCAATTGTTTACAATAATTTAGCTCTTGCATGTTTATTCCCTACATCAGTAGCCCCTTCCCCCACTCTTCCATGTAAAGTATAAAATCTTACAATGTAAATCTTTTCTGTCTGCATCAGCTTGGATCTTTTCTAAATGTGCTCTAGCTTGCTCATTCCCTCTGTCGGTAGCTTTTTTGAACAGTTCTATAGCACTAGCTTTATCTTCTGGCAATCCTGTAATGTATAAATAAGTTATAAATGAATGTGCAAAGTTATATAATACTTTTTGTAATATTATCTGCCTCACTATTTCAAAAGAAAATAATGTATTATTTTTTTCTTACCTATACTAGCAATCATTGAACTTTAAAATTTACTGAACTAATGAGCATTAGAGAAAAAATATTGAGTTTTCAATATAAATGAAAACATTTGTTTATTGTGGATACACTATTATTGGTGAGATACACACTTTCCAGGATATGTGTGTAAAGGTGAACCATGTATTTAAATGTTCAACAAACTACAAATGCCTGTATGTATACAAACTGTGCGGAACCTCAAAATCAAATATCCATGAAAATACAATTTTTCCTCAATCCACTAAAATTGGAACCCTCGAAAATAAATGAAATTTAATGAATCCACAGTATTATTATAAGTTAGTCAGAAGTATCTTGTAATAATTATTAGGACTGAAACCAGACATTTAAACTTTGGTCTTACAGGCCAGGTTAGATTTAGTTAATAGTAGTCTTGTCATGTTCCTAGCCATGATACTTGAATCTGGAAATGAATTTGGAACCACATGATAGACATTGTATGTTTAGGCAGAAAATGTTTATCAATGACTCATCTGGTCAAACTCTGTCAAGACTTTTCCTTTCTTGTTTTTTTATGGAATAGCCCAAAGCAATTAAACTTGAAAAATCTGCATAATGGTTATTGAGTATGTTCAAAAAGGCCCCACTATGGCCCCTTTTCTTGATTTACAAATTAGGATGAATGGCAGTAGTATGGGGTATGTAAAATCCTGACTTTTGAAAAACAAATAAAAGATAAAAAAAAAAAGAGGATAAAATGGCCTTTTAATATCCCTATGTATCATAGCTTGAACAATAAATAGATAGGAAATTTGTATTTTTGTTTGAAAATTTACATATCAGCATTTTTATTAATGGCATATCACATAAATCTCAATTTTCTACCAAATTCAATGAAAACATAAAAATTTCAAATGTTTTTTGGGATGTAAAACATACAGAAGATGTGCAACAAGTGTAAAAAAATAAAGTTTTTAACGTTATGTTTGTTAAAACAAATGAATTATTCAACTTGAATACTTAATTTGTCAAAAATCTGTATTTTTGCATCTCACGAAGCTTTGTTATAAAAAATATCGACAAAAGTTGTCCTGTTTCAATCACACACTAACTTGAAACACTTTTCATTTTGAAATAATGGACTTAACATTTTGGACCAAATAGTGCCATACCGCACCTGCTCCTTTTCCATACTATTTCTTTGAATATTTAATAACTATTCATACAAGCAATATGTGTCCACATATCAATATAGTTCAATATTTTCATTTACTAAGTTGAAGTTTGTGAACTTACCCCCTATAGCTAGTTCATAGAAGACTCCCAAGCTGTAAAGTGCACCATCATGACCACTTGAAGCAGCTTGTGAATACAGTTCTGCACTTTTGCACTCATTCACCTCTACTCCCCATCCATTTTCATAACACACTCCTAAAAAATACTGGGCTTCAGGGTCCTGCAGAGAATATACAATACATGTATATTAATTACCTTACATAACACACCCCCAGGCAATACTGGGCTTCAGGGTCTTGAAGAGAAAATACAATATATTACTGTAACAATAAATAACACACACCCAAGGCAATACTGGGTTTCAGGATCCAGAAGAGTAGTATATAATATGTGTTACATTACATTGAAATGACTGTGTATCAATGCACACCTAACATTGCTTATTAATCAATTCCTTTGACTGACAGTCTGTGATTCATCACTGACAATATTCAGGTAGATAGTTACAGTTAATCTGGCCAATTGCGTTTCTTTTATTGATACTTGATGGATTAAACTTAATGGATTAAACTTGATTAATTGATTTTCTGCGGATTATTCTATTAAATTTAATATATATTAAAAGTAACCTGCAAGGACACAATATTTGTGAATACAGCAGAGTCATTCTTTTTCATTCATTTATTTCAGTTTAAATGAAAATGCCACTATATGAAATATTCTGCTGATTCAAACAATATTGTTTATCAAAGAGCTTTGATAGATTACATCATGGACATAAAATTTTCCTTCCGTCTATTATTTTTGTAAAACTGGGTAAATGCAAAGGGAGACAACACTAATAACATTAGAAGTAACCATAAAATCTGAAACCAAGGGTAATGACTGAAAGGACATCCTGAAATCATTTGGACATCTGAATTATTCCGCAACTAACCCAAAATGAATGATTATTAGAGAGGATAACAAACTACAGTTTGCATACCAAATTTAGGGTATAGAGCCCTATTGATTGATTTGCTTTGGATGACAGAAAAAAAACACACAAAACATGTCTCTTCATTTAGTATTACAGATGTGAATATATTCATTCATTACCACTTGATTAAAATAATGAATATTTATCTCCTCAGACTTAAACTAATGAAAATAAAAAGTGTAGTACTGAAAGTAAATCATGTCTATCATCAGTCATTGTGTCATCATAGGAGTATTACTTATTTATGAAAGATCCTGAGCTTTCTAACTGCATCTAGACCAAAACTTAGCTATATTAGGATTATTCATCAAGTACCAGATGTTCTATGTATAGCATATGTCGTCCAGTCCAAACATTTTAGAAACCTTTGAAACAGCCGTTCACCTTAGTATGTTTTATAGATGATATTAACAAGTAAACAGTACTTTTCTGTGGAAACATAACATCTGTCCAAAAATAGAGATAATAATTTGTGGTTTGATTTTTCCCAAATTATAAATAATTGTCTCCTGTTTTAAAACAATAGTTACATGCATACATCAATGATTTTATATGACCAAGAATTATTCAGGGAAAATGGTTTCATCAAAAATTATATTATTATAATCATATATCTTACATTCTGGTCTGCAGCAGCTTGGAACAATGAAACAGCTTTTTCTAAGTCCTGGGTTTCTTCTTCTGTATAATATACACCAAGATAGGTCTGTGCCTGTATAAAGACATTTTTTTGTTTGTTTTAGAGATGTCAAAAGAATGAATTATTACCATATCATGTAAATCGTTTTTTTCAGTATGGTGTATTCAGCATACTTAAATTATGATTTTATGAACAAATTTTCAAAAACAACACAATGTCCTTTTACATACTGATTGTCAAATTATCTTTTCTGCTCATCAATTTTCTTACATTGAATATGTGTTTTTTTCCAATTTTTCCCCATATTATTTCTTTTTTCTTATCCTTTAAACCTTAATAACAAATTTTTAAGATATTCAAGAAAATTAACTAAGAAACTAACCTGACCGAGACCATATTCAGCAGCCTTCTGTAAAAGTTCTATAGCTAAGTTAACATTCTTTTCTATACAACCTTCACCCTTCAGGTACAGCAATGCCAGGTTATAAAGGGCCTGTTGGTGTCCATCTTCTGCAGCTAATTTGTAATACTTCTCTGCCTAAAATAGTACAGGATAAGAGTAAGCTCTCAAGGATGTATAAGACATTTTCAAAAATGGCTGAAATATCAATTTTTTGTAGCAGTAATGGGAATGTATATGTTATTTATTTGTTAATTTTACTTTAGCTGCTTATGTATTCCTAGGTTGTATAGGGTCTGTTGATGGTCATCTGATATTAAGAACCAAGCTTCACATTTAGCTATTCTCTGTGATGACTACTTTTCTATAGCACTATATCATATGAAAGTCAGGAAATTTCCTTTTACTTGAATAATGTTTTAAAAGTGCCTTTTTTATATGTACTAATTTTTACTGTTAATTGAAAATTGCAGTTAAATTGCATTGTAATTTGCCTACTTAACATGCAATCTGACATTTATCTTTTTACATTTTCAAATAAACTCATATTGGCAATGTTTCCTACTTTTCTGAGATTCTGTTTTACGCCTTTCCCTGTTTCATAACATAGACCTATATTGAACTGTGCTTTGGTGTAACCAAGATGTGAGGCATCTATCCAGTTACTAGCAGCCTTTTTCATCTGACTTTTAGTAGCTTCTTGGAGACCCTGGATGTTCTTTCCTATCCCTGCATACTTTTTACACATGTCCTCAAATTCATTCATTACTTTGTATAAAGGATCTGTGGTCTCATTTTCATCGTGTTCAGTGGAAAGATTACTGGCAGTTGTAAACTAGAAACATATATAAACACCTTAAATTAAACACAAATCATAAATAGTGTGATGTAATTTTAGAACATTCATCTCGACAGCTACTGACGAGTCTTAGGCAGGGGGAAAATGTGTCTGCCCTCTACCTCGGGAAGAAATTTTGATAGGCAATTTTCTGCTCAATTTCTATCTGCGGTATACCAGCATCTGCTTAACCTTTTTAGAGCACCTGAAATAACAATTGGTTTTTCTTGCTCAGTCTTTTAGTTTTTTTATGTAGTGTTTTGTGGACTGTTGTTTGTCTTTTCTTCATTTGTTTGTTTTTTGTCATGATTTTGACAGCATCTTATCACCTTGCCAGTTTTGATTCTCTCTTTGTTTTTGTTTTTTTTTGAAGCACAAAGTCCCAATCAATAACTTGAATGTTTAAGTGCAATTTCATACACATGTACCCTCATGTATACCTTTGTATTGCCTTTTATCATCTGTTGTCATACAGGTGCCTCTTTGTGTATTTTTATCAGCTCTCACATAGTAAGCCAACATTATTAATTTTCATTTCATTTGTTGATATGTGCGTATCTAATTAGGATTTTATTTAAGAAATGAATGCTTCTTTTTGTAATTTTATTGGGGTGGAAAAATGTTGACAGAAGCACATTTTGTGAGAAGCGCGGAAGTGCTTCATTCTAAAAATGTATGCATGATCAACACATTTACACCCCAATAAAATTACAAAAAGAAGTATTAATTTCTTATAATTACGTTTTAATGCTAATAAGACCATGAAAAAAAAGTCTTATCAAGTTTTTCTTTTATTTACCTGTGCACTTTTTTGTGGAAGCATGTGTCATCACGAATGTAACATTTCATTTTGATATCAAGGTTAATTTTTGAATTACACACGATTGCTGTTAGCCAATCAAACTAACATATTCTCGTGAAACATACATGTAATGTAATTATTTACTTGTATCACACTTTATATGTGTTGAATTAACACATTATTTTGTAATTAAGTTTGACATGTCCGAAGGTTAATTCATGCAAGGGAGTGTGTATACATACTTCTTTCACTCCTTCTTGTTTCTGGCTATCAAAAGTGATGACAGAACTACCAATCAAAGGTCTGCTTGATACACTAACATCAGAATCAACTATAGAATGTGACGTAATTCTCTGTGGCCGAACCTTGTCTGGTATTGCCAGAGCCACCTGCCATAACATACATCGTTTCTGTCCATCAGGTGGCTTTCTTGGTTTGTGTTTCTCTGGTTGTTGAATTGGACATTTTGATAAATGGATTCCAAGTACTACAGCTGCACCCTGAGAATTAAGTTTGTGTTTAATATTTAGGACAGAGAAAGTATACTTAATATTCATAAAATTTACAGGGAACTGAAGTTTTGATTTTGACCAAAACTGTTGTGAAAGGGATACACCAGTTCTGAGGCTTAAAATAAGATCCATAATGATCCATTTGAATTGTCTGATCCCATGAAATAATATGCCCTTATAATATTGAAACCATGTAACATAAACACATTATCTACATGTACCAGATCATAAAGTTAATCTAGTACCTGATAAATATAAATGTTTAACAGTATTTGGCATTTCAGTATTGTAAGCTTCAATATAACAGAGTAGCAATTTCTGCAGAAATTTACATAAATGAGATAAGTAATTACAAATCAACAGATATACCAGCCATGGACTTATTGTTTCAATCTTTGGAAAAAAAGTATACTAACCCAGCCAAGAGCTTCCAATGCATTGTGGTTCCCATTGAAGAATGAATGAAAATCCTTATTATAATTTTTGTACCATTTATCTTGGTCTGGTCCATGTTTGTATTTGTCTTCTCCTTTATATCTAGAATTGTTCAATAAACAAAAGTATAATAATCTATTTGTACTTTATCTTTCCTCACAATAGAACCTGTCAAACTACAATGGAAATGTTAATAAAGTAGCAATTCACATTAACTGAGAAGTCATTGCAGACGATTTTATTTCAACAATTTTATGCAGTACATGTACATGATGTATTAACTATATTTTCTACTGAGATGTTATTTTTTTTTTGTATTAGAATCAGTAAAAGCTGTATTGATGTAAAAACACCTATGTATATGTTTTCAAACACACCATACACAAGAGATACACAATAAAAGTATTAGAGCAGTTAATGTTTCCACAAAATCACTACAATTGTATAAGTCCTCATCAGTCAAATCTCACTTCAATAATATTCCGAATGCTACAATGATGCAGTAAGATGTGCAGCCTATAAAAGCATAAAAAGACCCACAGAGTGACAATGGTCCCAAGGAAAATTTTAATTTTTAAAACTTTTAAATAAAGGATATTAACTGATCCTTAGCAAATTTATTAAAACTTGTTTGGGAAAACATAATGCAAAATTCTTTAGACCAATTAGAAAGTTAAATATTACAAGTTCTATCATTATAAGATCTAGGCCCCCAAACATGTTAGACACGACCCACATTCTGTATGTATCTGTCCTTAGTCAGGAAGGAGCCTGTAATTTAGTGGTTGTCATTTGTTGCTGTATATCATATTTGTTCTTTTTTTAATTTTGTTTTGTACATAAATCTTGCTGTTAGATTTCTCGTTTGAATTGTTTTACAATTGTCATGTTGGACCTTTAATAGCTTGCTATGCATTTTGGGATTTACTCATTGTAGAAAGCCATAAGGTGACCTATAGATGCTAACTTCTATGTCATTTGGTCTCTTGTGGAGAGTTGTCTCCACATCTCCTTACTTTTATATAGAGTGAAAAATATTGGATTTTTAAACTCTACAACATGTACAAGATATACCTGAATGTACATATCCTTAAATGATCCTTGACAAATATGCATTTCTTCTTTCGCAAATCTTTACACTGCTGCTCAAATTCAGCTTCATCTTCTCTGCAAACTCCTGTTGCCGATGCTCTCGGCCCGTGGAAATGCTGGCGTATCGCTAAATAAATATTTAAACAAAAGTTTAAATTAAGTCCATCTCTGTAGTATAAAAAGATCAAAAAGATGTGTTAAAAATTTAAAAGATTCAAATAAACATTAATTTATCATTTGGAGCGATTTTTTCTTCATATCAATAACTGGTTTTAGAATAAATGTGTTTATTTCCGATAGAATCCTTAATGAAAAATAAAGGTCATATTTATGTATCATTAATAAAGCACTATATGATCATGCCAACATACAGAATTTAAAAAAAGCTATAAGTTAGAGCTATATAATCATGATAATTTAAGAAATGTACCTCAATTTATTTTTGGACCAAGTCCAAATTACTGACCTTTCGAAACTTTAATTTTTGGCCAAAGAAAATTTTCTAATGCCTAGAAATTAACCCTCTCAAATAAAATGGACTCCGTTTTTAAAAATTATGACCTCTATCCCTTCTAAATTAGCCAACTACTGTTATTTTGAAATAGCTTTTTTTTGTTTTGATGTCCTACATTTTCACCACATATTGGTTATCTCCCTTTCCACAATAAATGTGTTGCATTATCAACCACATGGGTATAATTAGATATTATTCTTTCAATATTATAACTACTTATCAAAAAATAAAAATCCCTGATGGTTCAGTTATCAAGTATATGCATAGTTCAACAAAAAGGTCACCTTCATCAAAACAAAAACAAATCCCTGCTTGACCTCATTGTAACATTGTTTAATCTTCCTTGTAACTGGAGAAGAATCCATTGTCATGTTATATCTGTTTCAAGAATAAATAATGCATTAACTATCACCCAAACACTTAATTACCTCTTGGCAATCCGCTAAGCCACCTCCACATAACTTTTTACATTTCGAACCTATATATCTGAATTCTTCCTTCTTCTTCGGTTCTTGGCTTTCTTCCGAATAATTTGTATTGCGTCACATGACCGACCTTAAATTAAAATAATTGACAAGAACCGAGAGATCCGAAGACTTGTGATTTTGTTCTATTTTTGGATCTAGGGAAACGTTGAAAGTGAAAGCAGTTGACCGGTAAAAATACAAGTAAATGTCAGTTACAGCTGTGGAACAGTCGCTCTTAAGGTCTTGGCGATATTTTTTGGTAATGTTTGTACAGCTCTATACAATCAGAAATTAAGACCATAAGATCTTCGGTTCCGCACATGGGTTATACAATGAAATATGAATATTGTCTCGAAAGAGTCGAATGCAGGACAACTCGGTCCTGAGGCTGAGACAAGTCGGATCGAGTCAAATCAGTCAACTCGGACCGTCTATAAGACAACTCGGACCGTCAATAAGTCAACTCGGACCGCCTTTAAAGTCAATTCAGACCATCTATAATGATTACTCAGACAAAGTATTAAAAGAGGTTGATTATATAAATGATCAAATGTTATATTTTATATGACAATGTCATTTGCATGTTGCTGAATTTGCTAAACATAACAAAAAAAATATTGATTGATGTGAATTCAAATTTTTTACTTATCTTTATCAATTTATTGTAAAACTTAATTGAAGCAAAAAAAAAAAGAAGCCTAGGTTGAATTTGTTTTATTTATTTGTTGAATTCATTATTTATTAATTTAAAGTCAGCTGACGGACCGTCTATAATGTCAACTCCAACAAAGTATAAACATAGAGTGTGTGCTATTTATATAACAACAAATTATATTTTACAACAAATTATCCTTTGATTAAATTTGTAATTTTGTCATGATAATTAAATTTAATCAATAACATGAATAATGAGCTCTTTATGTTCCGTTCAGTCCTGGAGCATGTTTGCCAGAAGTGTCCGTACCAACATGTAGAAGGTCCAAGGCACCACCAACTCAACTGAAAGGCAACCTCTAATTCTACTTTTGTGCTTTTGAAATAAGAACTTTATGAGATAACGTTTCCTTATTATATGTCTTAAGTTATACTTAGTGCTCAAATCATATAACGTACATTACTATCCAGTCTAGGTAAAATATTTACTTCCATTTTAAGCAATAGACTTTGTGATTATTAAGAAGAGTTTTTAATTTTACAAGAAAATCAAGCAGGTTTTAGACGTACCAGGAAATAGCACAAACTTTATGACTTTTTTGAACTCTTGAAACTGAAAAAGAAAAAGTTTTATTGTGCGTTATTTTCAAAGAGCCTTTGATTCTATTCAAAGAATTCTCCTTTTATTTAAACTTTTGAATAATAATATTAAACGGAAATAAAAAATTCAGGGAACGTCATTCAATTGGAATGATGGAAAAAAAGTCCTGGAAAAAAAGTCACAGATAAATTTAAATTTAGTCACAGGAAAAGAGGTCAAAGGAAATAAAGTCACAATTAATAAAAAAAAAAGTATATTTTGTAATTAAATATTTTATTATTTTTTTTAATGTATATATACTTATAAATAGATGTTTATTAATATGTAAGCAGAAACATACATGACATATATATATATGTATTTTATGACTATAATGTATGGAAAAAATCATAGGGAAATTATTTGAAATTGTATGTAGTTAATATCAACTGGATAGTGTTTTTGAATATTTCAACATCTTTTAAGGTTAGAAACAGGGGTGTGGTATTTCAATGTTAGTATTTATTGTAATTTTATTGATAAAATGTTGACCATGAAAATGTAAGATATAACACTTAAAACCTTAAAAAATATTTTATTTTCTTAAACAATATGTCATTTACTTACCATTGAAAGTCCCCCATAACTTTTAAAGGAGAAAAAAATTGAAATACTACTTAACAGTTGTACAAAAATGAACATTATTTTTTATCAGATTTGTGACTTTTTTTCCTTCAAAATTTGTGACTTTTTTCCGTTTATCATCAATTGTCTATATATAAGTTTCTTCATAGAAGGTCTGAGTTGTCTTTTTCGTCATTTATATGCTCAAAATCGATGTCAAAACTTTATGAGAGACTTTTCTTCAGACACAGTCTTTTTCATTAAATCATTTATTCTGTCAAAACTGTAATTTTATCCTTAGTCTGAGTTGACTTTATAGACGGTCTGAGATGACTTATTGACGGTCGGAGTTGTCTTCATAGACATTCCGAGTTGTCTTTTTTGTAGATAATCTGAGTTGTCTCTGGGCCGACTTGTCTTGCACCCATCTCCATATGTTTTCATTGAAATTTTCCTACAAAAGGCTTTGTTGTTTTGACTTTAAGAGACAGTGAATGATATAATTTTTATGAAGAATTAACCAGTTTTATACTCTGTGTAGTACAATTTAAGACTTAATTATCAGACTCTAAATAAAACTCTTTTTATTCAACCAATGTCACAAAACTGCAATGAAAAATGTAAGGATATGAAGTATTACTTTATACTGACTCAAAATCCCTACGTTTGCTTGACAACAATCAAAAGCTGAGAAAATTGTGGCTTCTATAAATGTGGTTGAAGACCCATTGGTTGCCTTAGGCTGTTTTATTCATGAAAAAGTTAGCAGTTGATTTTTTTTTCAACTTCATCATTCTTTTAACTTTTTGTAATTTAAATTATGAAATACTGATAAATTAAGGGTATTTTAATGTTATGCTATTTACATAGATATATTGAATTTGATATTAATATGATATTAATGCCTAAGACTCAGACCAATGAGACTAACAATAAATAAAGAATTGTTTATTTATATTTTTGAGTTACCTTTGAGTGAATCTGATGCCGTTTATAATAAGTAATTTAAACATTTGAAACAAACTTAAAAAAAATCATGTCTTTAATTTACATCTGGAATTTTTGAACCTGGGGATATTGGAATTTGCCCATTTTTTTTTAAACTAATGACTTATTTTTTGGAAAAAGAAAACAACTATATGCTCTTAAGGTTTCAAGACTGAAATAAGATTTAAAATATGTTTGCCATTAAAAATAAACTTTCAACATACACATGATACATTTGTACATGACAAATATACAAGTTATATGAGAATTGCTGCTTTCAATGGACATCCTGAAACTTTAAAAGAAAAATTTACTGCTGCATTCTTTGGATAGACCATAAGATAAGATGTTTGTCAATATGTGTTTAGTTTTGCTAACTTTTTAATATTTGAAAGGAACAATTAATTAATCAACACATAATATATATTATGTTACATTGTTTTCAATTTGTAGGCTTCTAGATGGCAGACAAGTTATTTAACTGTAGATTTGCCAGAGAGTTTGCCAATGTAAACCTTATCTGCTTCCCATGGGCTGGAGGTGGATCAAACTTTTATGCACTCTGGGGAAAAGATTTGCCAGATTTTATTGAAGGTAATTTAGATATTAAGAAATATGATCATGTTTCATCATCATGATCATACTGCACCACAAATATGGCTTTGAGATAAGACAGTTTATCAGAAGTTGTGACAAAATACCTGTTTAGTCCAATGTAATGATAGGCTAGCGGCCTGGCTCATATATAAAGTACATAACTGTTCATTAACATTAATGAGCCATCTTCTTCATACCACCCTTTACATTTTGGATGACTGAAGTAAATTTTGGTATATAATTTTCTTTGTTAAGATCTCACAATGCTATTTCTGAATCAATAAAATGGGTTTGGCTCATTGAGTTTTCATAATTATTGTCATAACAGGAGCTGAGTGACGAGAATTTAGTAGTAAATTATGATGGATATGCATGTTAGTTTATTTCAATGCCTCTTTTATAAAACATTTCATTGTGGGATGAATAGTTTCATTTTGAATCTTTAGAAACAGAGAGAATGAATTATTTGACCATGAGTAGCTATGCTTTTTTGAAGCAAGAAATACACGACCAGGACAAAGTATGAATAATATTGTTATATGTTATTATTTTGAGTTGCAGACTGCTCATGAAAAGCCGAGCTGAAGAACAGAAACAAATATTCCTTAAAAATACTTTATGAATATTTTCAAGGTTTATTTAAGTTTGTATACCACCTGTGTGTTAAACTGATTATTGAATTTTTTTTTTAGTTCATGCCATTACATTGCCAGGAAGAGAGAGTAGATTTAAGGAGCCATGTTTGAAAGAACTTAATCCTTTGGTGGATGATCTTGTGGAGAAAATAAACAATAAATTTTCTAAGAAAAAATTTGCATTTTTTGGACACAGGTATATTTAAATAAGGATTATTCCATTTTAGTCACATCATTAAAGATACCTTGAGTTCTTGAGTTTAAGAATGAGAATACAGCAGTAAATGTTGAAACTTGTTCTTTTCCAGATCAAATTGATACAAAGTTTAGGTTTACAACAATTGATCAATCATGTTTTGAGATAAGACTATTGTAAACTTCCTCAGGAGCCTGTCATTCAGTGGTTACAGTTGGTTGCTGTCTGTCATATTTATTTTTCTTTCTTTGTTTTGTACATACGTTAATGAGGCTGTTGGTTTTTTGTTCAAATCGTTTGACATTTTGTCATATCAGGTCTTTTTATAACTTACTATACTATATAGGTTTTGGTCATTGTTGAAGGCTTAACAGTGACCTATAGTTGCTTACAGATACATCATTTGGTCTTTTGGAAAAAAACAGATCTTTTTATTTTTATATCACTCTTGCTGATACTCTTTTCATGATTTGTCTATTAGCACTTTCTTAAGCCAGCTTCGCTGTGATTTAATTTCACAATTTTTAACTCTGTTAATATATCCAGTTAATTCACATAGTCATGACAATTTTTATCAATGTTATTTTTTATGCCCCCGCCGTAGGGGTGGGGGCATTAAGTTTTACCCTTGTACGTACGTACGTCCCAAAATTGGTTTCCGTTCTCTAACTTGAGTTTGCCTCAACCAAATGTTATGAAACTTATACACAATGCTTATTACCACAAAACACAGATCAAGTATGAATTTTGGTGGCGTCACCTCAACCGTTCTAGAGTTATGCCCTTTATAAATGGAAAAATTGCAAAATATTTAGTTTCCGTTCTCTAACTTAAGTTTGCCTCAACCAAATGTTATGAAACTTATACACAATGCTTATTACCACAAAACACAGATCAAGTACGAATTTTGGTGGCGTCACTCTAACCGTTCTAGAGTTATGCCCCTTTATAAATGGAAAAATTGCAAAATATTTAGTTTCCGTTCTCTAACTTAAGTTTGCCTCAACTAAATGTTATGAAACTTATACACAATGCTTATTATAACAAAACACAGATCAAGTTTGAATTTTGGTGGCGTCACCTTAACCATTCTAGAGTTATGCCCCTTTATAAATGGAAAATTGCAAAATTTTTATTATCTTCTAAATATCAAGTAATTTTTAAAATAAGAGTTATCTTCCTTTGTCCATGATTACAGTTGAATCAACTACAATCAATGCTTTATACAATGCAATGTTTAATTTTGACTTCCACTGATAAAACACAGATCAAGTTGAATTTGGGTAGTGTCACTTTAACCATTATTGAGTTATGCCCCTTTATAAATCAAAAGATTGCAAAATTTTTAGTTTCCATTCTGTAACTAAAGTTTGCCCCAACCAAACATTATGAAACATATACACAATATTCATTACCACAAAACTAAGATCAAGAACAAATTTTTTGTTTCCGTTTTCTAACTTTAGTTTGCCTCAACCAAATGTTATGAAACTTATACACAATGCTTATTACTACATAATACAGATTAAGTACAAAATTTGGTGGCGACACTTTTACCATTCCTGAGTTATGTCCCTTTATAAAAATAAAAATTGCTGAATTTTTCATTTCCGTTCTCTTACTTTAGTTTGTCTCAACCAAATGTTATAAAACTTATACACAAATGTTCTAGAGTTATGTGTGTTTACAAATAGAAAAATTGCTGAATTTTTAGTTTCTGTTTTCTACTTAAGTTTGCCTCAACCAAATGTTATGAGACTTACACACAATGCTTATTACCACAAAACTCAGATCAAGTTCAAATTTGGGTAGCGTCACTTTTACCGTTCTTCAGTTATGTCCCTTTATAACTATATTATATGCAAGAGGGGGCATCATCTGTGTCCACATGTGGACACTATCCACATTTTTCTACTTCTGGAAGCCTTTTATTAAAACAATCCTTACTATTAGTTGGTTAACAGTATTTATGATTTTAAAGTGACTCTAATAAAGAACACATTTTCATTTCCTAAAAAAGTGTTAAATGTTTACAAAAAACAAAGCAGTTCTATAATTGTTTACTTTTAACACATTGTGACTTGGATGGAGAGTTGTCTCATTAGCAATCATACCACATCTTCTTATTTATATTTATTGATGTTGTAAAACATTGTAGTTTGGGATCATTACTGAGTTTTGAGGTAGCTAGAAAACTGAAGAATAAATACAACATAGAACCATTGAAAATGTTTATATCTGGAGCATCACCATCACATGTAAGTACATGGAACCATTGAAAATGTTTATATCTGGAGCATCACCATCACATGTAAGTACATAGAACCATTGAAAATGTATATATCTGGAGCATCACCATCACATGTAAGTACATAGAACCATTGAAAATGTTTATATCTTGAGCATCACCATCACATGTAAATACATAAAACCATTGAAAATGGTTATATCTGGAGCATCACATCTCATGTAAGTACATAGAACAATTGAAAATGTTTATATCTGGAGCATCACCGTCACATGTAAGTACATAGAACCGTTGAAAATGTTTATCTGGTGCATAGCCATCACATGTAAATACGTACATAGAACCATTGGAAATGTTTATATCTGGTGCATCGCCATCACATGTAAGTTCGTACATAGAACCATTGGAAATTTTTATATCTTGTGCATCACCATCACTTGTAAGTGCATAGAACCATTGGAAATATTTATATCTGGAGCTTCACCATCACATGTAAGTACATAGAACCATTGAAAATGTTTATATCTGGAGCATCACCATCACATGTAAATACATAGAACCATTGAAAATGTTTATATCTGGAGCATCACATCTCATGTAAGCACATAGAACCATTGAAAATGTTTATATCTAGAGCATCACCATCACATGTAAGTACATAGAACCATTGAAAATGTTTATATCTGGTGCATAGCCATCACATGTAAGTACGTACATAGAACCATTGGAATTGTTTATATCTGGTGCATCACCATCTCATGTAAGAACATAGAACAATTGAAAATGTTTATATCTGGAGCATCACCGTCACATGTACGTACATAGAACCATTGAAAATGTATATCTGGTGCATTAGCCATCACATGTAAAAATGTACATAGAACCATTGAAAATATGTTTATATCTGGTGCAGCACCATCACATGTAAGTACATAGAACCATTGAAAATGTTTATATCTGGTGCATCGCCATCACATGTAAGTTTGTACATAGAACCATTGGAAATTTTTATATCTGGTGCATCACCATCACATGTAAGTACATAGAACTATTGAAAATGTTAATATCTGGTGCATCACCATCTCATGTAAGTACATAGAACCATTGAAAATGTTTATATCTGGAGCATCACCATCTCATGTAAGTACATAGAACCATTGAAAATGTTGATATCTGGTGCATCACCATCACATGTAAGTACATAGAACCATTGAAAATGTTTATATCTGGAGCATCACCATACCACATGTAAGTACATATAACCATTGAAAATGTTTATGTCTGGAGCATCACCATCACATGTAAGCACATAGAACCATTGAAATTGTTTATATCTGGAGCATCACCATTACATGCAAGTACATATAACCATTGAAAATGTTTATATCTGGTGCATCACCATCACATGTAAGTACATAGAACCATTGAAAATGTTTATATCTGGAGCATCACCATCACATGTAAGAGGGTCGTAATGGGGATACCTTCATGATGAATAATGGTAAAAATTCTTGCCAAATGACGTTAACAGTAATTTTTGGTGCATGACGATAAAATGTACACTTTCTTTTAGACGATAAAAAAATTGACTGATTTTGACGCATCATGCTAAATTTTTTCCAAAAATAACGGTAACGATAATTATTTGAGACCTCTGACGAATCAAGATAAGGATATTTTGACGAATCACGGTAAAATTTCAACCAATTTGACGCTAACGGTAGCCGAAAATGCTTGTTTGATGCCTGACGGTGAAGGGCATTCCTACCCTCATGTAAGTTCTGTTATTTTAAGTATGAAGTATTGAATGAAATTTAAAAATATTTGAAACACTTCTAGATATTACGATAGAATGTATAATTGAATGTCAGTCCTGTTGCATGACTGCTTCATCTTTTATGAACTTGCTTCTTTAATCTTTCTAAACTTTAGCAAGCAATGTGATAAACGGTAAAACAAGTGTGAGTAGTTTTGAACCCTTTTACTTATGATAATAAGCTGTGAATGTGAACAAAATTTAAGTTATTTGACAACAATTTTACTGTGTTCATATCAAGGTTACCGTATTACTTCTTTGATCATTTGAATTACCAGAGCATTTAGATACTTTCAATAGACTTTAAGGAAGGTTAACAGTAAAAGGGAGGTAATTCATCAAGAAATGATTTTTAGTTATCTATATCCATTTTTCTTTACTCTTTGAAAAAAAGCAGGAAAAGGTGTGATATGGCTTTATGTAATTGCCGCTTCCATGCGCTAGTTTTTTACGTGGTAGTTTTTATTTGTGGATATATATCTGGATGAGCCTTCATATTTTTAAAATGCATATAAGGTAACTGAGTAGAGTTAATTTGCCCTCCTTTAAACATGTTAAAAGAAAATACTAGTTTGTCACCTTTTATGTATCACACTTTGAATATTTCAAGAAAATAATTTGGCTTTTTTTTGGAAAGAGGTCTCACCATTTGTCACATTTTATGTATCATACTTTAGATATTTGAAGGAAATAATTTGGTGATTTTTTGGAATGTGGTTTCACCATACTTAAGTTACATTTTGTTATATATTTTTTAACAAAATCTGGGTAACAGTATACTGTATCATTGACTGTTTGGCAGAATTGATATTGAGATAAGCCTAAACAACTTAAATGGCTGTGATCAAGACTACAATTAAGATTAGGAGCTATTTTTAGTTGTACCTGATTGCTTTTATTTTCAGTCATCATATAGGAAACAAGATCCAAAGTTTGGCAAAATGACAGATGCAGAATTTAAAACATTCTTGGAAAAACTAGGTATGACTTTAATATGCTACTAAATGTTTAATTATATGGCAAATTCAGCAAATAGCACACACTTTATCCTACCATCTCTAATAAAGCAATACATTCTACTTGCTCTTCTTATCCCATTTAAGATAACCTTTGTTCAGAAGAAATTTTTTTTTACATTGAACAATGTTATTAGTATAGGAAAAGCATTTACCCATGTTATACTGGCATTGCCATTTTAAGTATTTGAATGAGATCACCTTTTTAGTTCACCTGACTGAAAGGCCAAGTGAGCTTTTCTCATCACTTGGCGTCTGTCGTCCATTGTCGTCGTTAACTTTTACAAAAATCTTCTTCTCTGAAACTACTGAGCAAAATTAAGCCAAACTTAGCCACAATCATCATTAGGGTGTCTAGTTTGAAAAATATGTCTGATGACCCCATCTGCCAACCAACATGGCCGACATGGCTAAAAATAGAACAAAGGGGTAAAATACAGGTTTTGTCTATTATCTTGACAGGGCAAAAATGTCTAGAATGTTGAGATCTACCAGCTGTCCAACTATGCCAAAACTATCGGATGTCAACATGTCAGACAATAACTCAAAAACACTTTAACCATTTTTCATGAAACTTTGGTGAATTGTTTTTATCAATTGAAGTAAGCTCCCTTTCGATTTTTATAAATTTTAGATTTTACATTTCCAAGTTATGGGATTTTATTCATAAAAAAAGGGTGGATTTTCCAATTTTCAGATAATAACTCAAAAATGTTTTGAGCAGTTTTATGAAACTTTGGTGACTGGTTTATATCTATTAAAATAAGCTCCCTTTACTTTTTTTATAAATTGATGATATGACTTTAAGGAGTAATGGAACTTTATTCGTTGAAAAAGCGACTGGCTTATCATGTGCTCATGGCGAAGCTCTTTATTTTTATATAAATTGGTTTTAATTATAACGCCTTTTTGTTTAGTTGACCAAGTGTAAATACTTTTTGTAAACTTCATTTTTTTCTTTTTTATAAGTATGAAAATGAGGAGAGGTATAATAAGTATGACTGCAAATGAGACAACTATTCTTCAGAGACCAAAGGTCTATTTCTACAGCAATAAGAAATTTTTTTTCATAATTTGTAAAATGAAAAGCCTAAATGATGTTGTTGTGTTGGTATGATACAGGAATCAGCAACAAATTTTTGCAGTGAGGATGAAGAAAGGAGTTATGATAGTATTATGAGGACAGTAACATATATATGATGTGATAGTTATTTGATTTTAGGTGGAACACCAAAAGAAATATTAGACAATGATGAAATAATGGAGTTATATTTACCTGCACTTAAAGCAGATTATGGCTTGTTAGACCAGTTTGAGTAAGTTTAATGTAGGTTTTAGCTGGAAATCCCTGAGGTATCACCAGCTGAGTTAGTCAGTACATCGGTACGGACATCATTAATTGCATATACTTTTTTAAATTTCTCTGTTCATAAATTATTAAGAAACAAATGTTCCATCTCCCTCAAGCAAAGCTGACCGTAGATGAATTTGGCTATATTGTTTAGGTTCTTTTTCGTATTATAGCTCCTAACGTTGCAGCTTATTTACACATCCCAGGATTTCAAATGTTTAGGTCTGGTCATAGTGTATTTTACAAGACTGGGTCAGTTTGATAAAGATTATAGCCCCTATAAGACTAAATTAAAAATGTCTATTAAAACTTGACTTATACATTAATAGAGAGACAGTTTACAAAATATAACTTAAGTGAGAAATAGATGAGCAGTTATTTTTTACCATAAAGTTTATACAAAGTGACCTTACTTGTTAAAAAGGAGTCTTGGGTTCCGGTGGGATATCATCTTAGCATTTCTTATTTATTCATTTAGAATTTATTTTTAAGATTAGAAGGGAATCAAACATTTCTTTATAAATAACTGACAACTTATCTCTCAAAGCTATTTATAAAAACTATATTGAAGTTTAATTCTAGTCACCTTATATGGCATTTATATTATTACATCAAATGGCATTAGTTATGTCATCCTTAAAATATTATTTCTGATGAGCATCCTATTTCTTTTTTTTAAAAGAGATTGAGAAACTTTATTGCTTTGCTATCATGTCAAGTCAACATTTATGAAATTAATGGAATACTGTTTGTCTGTCATACTTGTTCATCAGTTTTTGAAACCTTTTTTGTTTTACAAGAAACTTGTACATATTCTTATATTGTACATATTATTATATTGTACATATTATTATATTGTACATATTATTATATTGTGTATATTGTTATATTGTGTATATTGTTATATTGTACATATTATTATATTGTACATATTATTATATTGTACATATTCTTATATTGTACATATTATTATATTGTACATATTCTTATATTGTACATATTATTATATTGTACATATTATTATATTGTACATATTATTATATTGTACATATTATTATATTGTACATATTGTTATATTGTACATATTATTATATTGTACATATTATTATATTGTACATATTATTATATTGTGTATATTGTTATATTGTACATATTATTATATTGTACATATTATTATATTGTACATATTCTTATATTGTACATATTCTTATATTGTACATATTCTTATATTGTACATATTCTTATATTGTACATATTATTATATTGTACATATTCTTATATTGTACATATTATTATATTGTACATATTATTATATTGTACATATTATTATATTGTACATATTATTATATTGTACATATTATTATATTGTACATATTATTATATTGTACATATTATTATATTGTACATATTCTTATATTGTACATATTATTATATTGTACATATTCTTATATTGTACATATTATTATATTGTACATATTCTTATATTGTACATATTATTATATTGTACATATTATTATATTGTACATATTATAAGGTTTTTGGTTTTGTACAGTCTTCATCAACATTATATGTGTTGTCTAATCTAGCAAATATTGTACAGAAACAATAAATTTATGAGAAAAAAAAATTAAAGCTTGCCGTACTGTACGTGATCTTTCTCTGACCAAATGCTGTGAGAACTCCTTTTTTTCTGTTATAAATTAAAAAAGAAAATACTATATTGGAATTGTTTTTATTTTCCAGTTTCCATCCAGAGTCTGGAAAATTATTAAGAACTGCTATATTTATATTGTGTATTTTTTCCAGTTTCCAACCCGAGCCTGGTAAAGCAGTAGTGTCCTGTCCAATTCAAATGTATGATGGAGATCATGATAAAAAACATGATGATGATGGTAAGTGAGCGAGGTAAAAAAAACAAATGTAGCTTTAAAAAAAAAATGAAAATAACACAGATAAATTTTTAGGATCTGAATCCCTTTTCTAAATTTTCAATCATGTAATGATTGCTTCGTACTCACTACTTCTTTCAACACCAAATCTTGCATCATACATGTATATTGTATCCTTTCCTTTCAAAATTTGTTTAAGAGAAAAGGATTTAAACAGCCAGTCACCTGAATTGCAATATAAGGTTCCCTCAACTGTTGTCCTGTCAAGAACTCTTTTCCTGCTGTAATCAATTCTTCTGGTGGCAGTTACCAGCAATATTTGTTGTTCTTGAATACAAAGTGATTTAAAGTCAGGTCATTACTATTGTATTATTTTTTTGTTGTGTTGTTCATTTGATGTCCTATAAATGTATACACCACATCTCCTTTTATTCATAGTTTTATGTCTCCTCTTTCTGAAATAAAAAAAAAAAAAATCGAGAGAAATATAGGATTTTATTAAATTTTGAAATAATTTGATAAATTATGATAGTTAAAATTAAAAACTTAATTTATCTTACATTTTTCTAATTTTCAGCATGGAAAGAATTAACCAGTGGATCCTTTAGTTTACAGTTTTTACCTGGAGGACATTTCTTTCTAAAAGAGAAGAATAACATTGATTATTTACTGGATTCTATATCTAAAAATCTTGCCTAGATAAATTTCTATGTTTAAATGGCTTTAGCTTAGTTAGTCTTATAGACAAACTCCATTCCTATTCATGCTAAAATATAACTACAAATATCTATAATTGGTTAGATAAGATTTCTATCGTTTCACGTCATTATTATAATAAGTAGATTTTGATGAAATTTGAATTAAACCAGCCAGAAATGGTTTTTGTATGTAAAAACTTGGGTATGAGACCGTCTCCATACCGGTTTTTTGAAATTGTTATTTCCCTTTAAAAAACCTATCTCCTTATTTTGAGTAAAGACTCTCCGTAATGGAGAGAACTTACTCAATAAATCTGTGTTCTCTTTTTTGGTCAACAACAATTTGCTTATTCTGTAAAAACTGAAATTTTTTAACAATTTATTTTTACACATAACAGAGTGCCATCCATCCGTCCGTCCGTGTGTCTGTCCGTCCGGTCTTGTTAGCGCTCTCATGTGTACAATTTTTGCCAGATTTTTATAAACTTATATCATAAATTTATATCAACAATGTCGCGGACAAGTTCAAAAATCAGTGCTGATCAGCTATTTTTAAAAGAGTTATGTTCCTTGGAAATATTAATTATATGGAAAATTGCATTGTTAGTACTCTTATGTGAACAATTCTTGCCAGATTTTTATAAACTTATATCATAAATTTATATTAACAATGTCTCGGACAAGTTCGAAAATCAGTGCTAATCAACTATTTTTAAAAGAGTTATGCCCCTTGGAAATATTAATTATATGGAAAATTGCATTGTTATTACTCTCATGTGTACAGTTCTTGCTAGATTTTTATAAACTTGTATCATAAATTTATATCAACAATTTCTCGGATAAGTTGGAAAATCAGTGCAGATCAAATAGTGTTAAAAGAGCTATTCCCCTTGGAAATATTAATTTTATGGAAAATTGCATAGCAAGCACTCTCATGTGTACAATTTTTGCCAGATGTTTTTTCAAATTTATATCAAAGGTTTATATAAGCAATACACAGATTCAGTGCTGATTAAATATTTTTAAAAGAGTTACCCCCCTTGGAAATATCAATTACATTGGAAATAACATTTTATTTGCTTCCTAGCCTTCATTTCTGTAAGACATTTGTAAAAAGATTTAAAGAACAAAAAAAAAGGATTTTTGCAGTAATTGCCCTTTGGATAGATAAAATATGTGCAGTGCAGGGGACATTGGAACTCTATTGTTTTATTATTTTTTTGTATGCTAAATTTTATAAGAAAAAATATAAAACTGATAATTTAACAGCAATTAGTAAAATGAAATATCTAAATAAACGATGCAAAATGGGTTATGCTGACATCTTGATGATGCTTGTTCTTGGTGTTGAGGTTTTGCTGTCTCATGGATGAAATCACATTGTTGATTCCTATATGAGAAGTGTTCTAAAAATAACTTCATTAGAGAGAGAGACTAATGACAGTTGTATTGTTACCCTTATGGTGATCAATTGTAAGGTCTTACTCTTTTATCACCACTATCTTCTAAATTTGAAGAAAACAGCTTATTCAGTGTTAAGTGAAATTGAAAGAATTTGTGAAGTAATATCAACTACAATTTACATGCAGTTATATTATAGTCAATGAAGTTGTTATTTTTTCTAATTTAGGCAATACAGTGTGTACTCATTTTTTTATTCAAAGCTTTTATATTAATTAACAAGATTTTTTACCTTTTTTTCATGTAGAAATAAATTATATCTATTAGCATAATACAAAAAAAAAATTGTGTTTAGTGCTTTTGCTTCACCTACTTTGCCTCATGTGAAATTTGACTAAAAACTAACAACATTTTTATCTGGAACATTTATATAACAGACAAATGTCAGCAAAATCCTGTGAGCTTTTTCTACTTTTGCTTTAAGAATATTTATTTAAAAAAAAAGATATCTATTATTTCCAGTACAGAAAACAGAACCATTATTGATCATCTTACATCATTGACAGTCACCGCAAAGTCAAAGTCATCTTTTAGTATACTTTTTCTTAGCAGCAAACACAAAAAGATGGAAGTAATTATAAACAGACATTTTTGCTTTACCTACCTTGATATAAATACAATTTGAATGACAAGTGCAATAATGGAAAATTTGTTCATCTGTGACATACAAATTTCTGTAAAATCATGTTGGTTGTTACTACACGTTTTATTAAGTATTTTATTTTATAAAGTTTTTTGTTGTTGCCTGCCAAGAAATGAAACCAAACCACTATTAGCCATCACTGTCACACTTTCCCACTAATTAATTTGAACAAAAGCATTAATAGAATTAAAATATAACATCAATTTTATGATAAGCTAGTTTCATTTTTAGCTCACCTGACCTGAAAGGTCAAGTGAGCTTTTCTCATCACTTTGCGTCCGTCGTCCGTCGTCCTGCGTCCGTCGTCCGTCGTCCGTCGTCCGTAAACTTTTACAAAAATCTTCTCCTCTGAAACTACTGGGCCAAATTTAACCAAACTTGGCCACAATCATCATTGGGGTATCTAGTTTTAAAAATGTGTGGCGTGACCTGGTCAACCAACCAAGATGGCCGCCACGGCTAAAAATAGAACATAGGGGTAAAATGCAGTTTTTAGCTTATAACTCAAAAACCAAAGCATTAAGAGCAAATCTGACATGGGGTAAAATTGTTCATCAGGTCAAGATCTATCTGCCATGAAATTTTCAGATGAATCGGACCACCCGTTATTGGGTTGCTGCCCCTGAATTGGTAATTTTAAGGAAATTTTGCTGTTTTTGGTTATTATCTTGAATATTATTATAGATAGAGATAAACTGTAAACAGCAATAATGTTCAGCAAAGTAAGATTTACAAATAAGTCAATATAACCGAAATGGTCAGTTGACCCCTTTAGGAGTAATTGCCCTTTATAGTCAATTTTTAACCATTTTTCGTAAATCTTAGTTATCTTTTACAAAAATCTTCTCCTCTGAAACAACTGGGCCAAACTAAACCAAACTTGGCCACAATCATCATTGGGGTATCTAGTTTAAAAAATGTGTGGCGTGACCCGGCCAACCAACCAAGATGGCGGCCACAGCTAAAAATAATACATAGGGGTAAAATGCAGTTTTTGGCTTATAACTCAAAAACCAAAGCATTTAGAGCAAATCTGACATGAGGTAAAATTGTTTATCAGGTCAAGATCTATCTGCCCCGAAATTTTCAGATGAATCGAACAACCTGTTGTTGGGTTGCTGCCCCTGAATTGGTAATTTTAAGGAAATTTTGCTGTTTTTGGTTATTATCTTGAATATTATTATAGATAGAGATAAACTGTAAACAGCAATAATGTTCAGCAAAGTAAGATTAACAAATAAGTCAACATGACTGAAATGTTCAGTTGACCCCTTTAGGAGTTATTGCCCTTTATAGTCAATTTTTAACAGTTTTTCGTAAATCTTAGTAATTTTTTACAAAAATCTTCTCCTCTGAAACTACGTGGCCAAATTAAACCAAACTTGGCCACAATCATCATTTGGTTATCTAGTTTTAAAAATGTGTGGCGTGACCTGGTCAACCAACCAAGATGGCCGCCACGGCTAAAAATAGAACATAGGGGTAAAATTCAGTTTTTGGCTTTTAACTCAAAAACCAAAGCATTTAAAGCAAATCTGACATGAAGTAAAATTGTTTATCAGGTCAAGATCTATCTGCCATGAAATTTTCAGATGAATCGGACAACCCGTTGTTGGGTTGCTGCCCCTGAATTGGTAATTTTAAGGTAATTTTGCTGTTTTTGGTTATTATCTTGAATATTATTATAGATAGAGATAAACTGTAAAAAACAATAAATGTCGGCAAAGTAAGATCTACAAATAAGTCAACATGACCGAAATTGTCAGTTGACCCCTTTAGGAGTTATTGCCCTTTATAGTCAATTTTTAACCATTTTTTCATAAATCTTAGTAATTTTTTACAAAAATCTTCTCCTCTGAAACTACTGGGCCAAGTTAATTATAGATAGAGATAATTGTAAGCAGGAAAAATGTTCAGTAAATTAAGATGTACAAACACATCACCATCACCAAAACACAATTTTGTCATGAATCCATCTGCGTCCTTTATTTAATATTCACATAGACCAAGGTGAGCGACACAGGCTCTTTAGAGCCTCTAGTTTATTTTCACAGAGCAAAATTTGGCTGTTGCATGATTCATTTATTTTTGCATATATTCACATCAACTTTGAGTACTACTTCAGGGCCATATTGATTAGCCAGCTTTTTGTATACAAACACATATTTTGAATCAAATATAAATCTATGCAATGAAACAAAAGATTTAAAATAAATTATGTTTTTTTATAATAACTGATGGATTTATTGACAATTCCACATTTATTTTGAGGTTGTTAAATATTGTTACAATCAAATTAATACATAAAAAAGTATACTATAGTTCTTTTTTGTTGTTATTATTAGTACAAATCTTGCCTTTGATTCTTATTTTGAAGAGTGGTACTTTTTAGCTCACCTGGCTGGAAGGGCCAAGTGAGCTTTTCTCATCACTTGGCATCCGTCATTGTCGTAGTACGTCGATGTTAACTTTTACAAAAATCTTTTCTAAAACTACTGAGACAAATTTTACCAAACTTTGCCACAATCATCATTAGGGTATCTAGTTTTAAAAAATATGTCCAATGACCCTGCCTGTCATCTAACATGGCTGACATGGCTAAAAATAGAACATAGGGATAAAATGCAGTTTTTGGCTTTCATCTCTGAAACTAAAGCATTTAGAGCAAATCTGACGAAGGTAAAATGTTCATCAGGTTAAGATCTATCTGCACTGAAATTTTCAGACGAATCAGACAACTTGTTGTTGGGTTGCTGCCCCTGAATTGGTAATTTTAAGGAAATTTTGCAGTTTTTGGTTATTATTTTGAATATTATTATAGATAGAGATAAACTGTAAACAGCAATAATGTTCAGCAAAGTAAGATCTACAAATAAGTCAAACATGACCAAAATTGTCAATTGACCCCTTAAGGAGTTATTGCCCTGTAAAGTCAATTTTTTACAATTTTTCATAATTTTTTGTAATCTTTTACAAAAATCTTCTCCTCTGAAACTACAGAGACAAATTTTACCAAACTTGGCCACAATCATCATAAGGGTATCTAACTAACATGGCTGACATGGCTAAAAATAGAACATAGGGGTAAAATACAGTTTTTGGCTTATATCTCTGAAACTAATGCATTAAGAGCAATCTGACTTGGGGTAAAAATGTTCAACAGGTTAAGATCTATCTATCAATTAAATTTTCAGACATATCAGACAACCCATTGTTGGGTTGCTGCCCTGAATTGGTAATTTTAAGGAAATTTTGCAGTTTTTTGGTTATTATGCCCCACCTACGACAGTCCATTCGTCTGTCTGTCCTGCTTCAAGTTAAAGTTTTTGGTCAATGTAGTCTTTGATGAAGTTGACATCCAATCAACTTGAAACTTAGTACACATGTTCCCTATGATATGATCTTTTTAATTTTAATGCCAAATTAGAGTTTTTACCCCAATTTCATGGTCCACTGAATATAGAAAATGATAGTGCGAGTGGGGCATCCATGTACTATGGACACATTCTTGTTTTGAATATTATTTTAGATAGTTATAAACTTTAAACAGCAATAATGTTCATCAAAGGAAGATCTACAAATAAGTCAACATGACCGAAATCGTCAATTGACATCTTATTGGAGTTATTGTCTTTTAAAGTCATTTTCTGCAATTTTTTGGGTAATTTTTGTAAACGTTTTTCAAAAATCTTCTGCTTTTGATTTAACTACTGGGCCAAATTAAACCAAACTTGGCCTCAATCATTATTAGGGTATCTAATACTATTGATTATGATTTTAACCTTATTAAACATGATTTCCAAAACCACAGTAGATACAGGTGAGCGACACAGGCTTTTGAGAGCCTCTAGTTGTCCTCCAGGTCATTTTTTTTAGCTTTCTATACTGTAAGAGTTTTGCTCATTGTTGAAGGTTTTGCAGTGACTTGCTGTTTTTCAAATCTTTGTCCTTTGGTAATTATTGTTTATCCTGCAATTGGATGAGCCCAAATATTTGAAACTGATCAAACTTGTAGCAGACTTGTTTCTTTACTCATATAACGTTCCCTCTAAATTTCATTTAAGAGTGGAAAATATTCCCTATTGTTAACTAGTCTTTTTTCGTACTGTGATATATTCAATGAGATGTAGTATGATTTCCAAAGAGACAACTATCCACTAGAGACCAAAGGACAAAGATGTATGTTGAAGCAACTACTGGGCACTGTCAATTTACAATGTATGTTTTTATTCGACTAATGGTTTTTTGTTTGCCCCATTTTCCCCTTTTTTTATATGCATTATACCCAGATCTTGCTTTATAGGATCCTAGCTTTATACATAAAATTGAGAATGGAAACAGGAAATGTGTCAAAAGAGACAACAACCCGACCCAAGAGCAGAACACAGCCCAAGGCCACCAATACACATGAATGTTAAGAATACATTTGCAATTTACACCCGTCCGTTTTTGTTACAAGAAGTAGGAATTGGGATGTTTATGGATGATACAGGGGTCACATTGTCCATTTCGTTTTGTAAAAAAATATAAAAAAAAAGAAATTTAATCTCAGATTTCATTCATGTATTAGGACCGTTTATATTTCATTCCATCATATTTTTATACGCCCGTTTACGGGACGTATTATGGTATATCGTTGTCCGTCCGTCGTCAACATGTCAGACAATAACTCAAAAACTATTTAACCAATTTGCATGAAACTTTGGTGAATTGTTTATATCTATTGACGTAAGCTCCCTTTCGATTTTTATAAATTTTATATTTCACTTTTCCGAGTTATGGGGTTTTATTCATTAAAAAAGTGGGATTTTCGAGTTTTCGGACAATAACTCAAAAATGGTTTGAGCAGTTTTCATGAAACTTTGGTGAATTGTTTATATCTATTGACTTAAACTCCCTTTCGATTTTTATAAATTCTAGATTTTATGTTTCCGAGTTATGGGATTTTATTCATAAAAAAAGGGGGGATTTTCCAGTTTGAGCAGTTTTCATGAAACTTTGGTGACTGGTTTATATCTATTAAAATAAACTCCGTTTTTTTTATAAATTTCTGATAAGTCATTGAGGAGTTGTGGAACTTTATTCCTTGAAATAGCGACTGGCATATCATGCGCTCATGGCTCATGGCGCAGCTCTTTATAAAATTTGGGCAACTGTGAACCCAATAGTGATGTCCCCATGTTTTCTAGGGACATTCAACTGACGCTTTTTGTGTGCGTGTATG